TTGTCGTGGTCAGACATAGCGAATTGAAAGGAGGATGGGAGCAACACACACTTGCCACCGCTAATATGCTATTAACAAGCAGCGAGGTGCAGCAATCTGGATTGGTTTCTTTGGTAGCCACATGCTTTAGGAACAGCTCTTGATCCACGACCTGCAATAACGGATGATCCCAAGTGAAGTATAGCGATATTAGGTGCGAAACAATATGGTCATCATTAGTAACTACTGTCCAAGGCCTGGAAGATACCTGAAACAAGGGACTATCACAGAGCTTCTCCACCGTTATCCGCAAGTGGGCATCGACAACTGGGCGCTCGTGCTGCGATGGAATATCTTCCGCAGGTCCAACGCTTTTGGAGTGCTCTGAACTTGCGTCACTGAAATCAGTGGCGGGAGCGTCGATAACAGTGACGAGGTCGTTCAATTGAGCATTGCCACGGATCTTTTCCAACATCTGTCTGGCTTTCTCTTCATCTGAGGATCGAAGCGTTTCGAGAAGCGAGTATAGCAGGCCTCGGTAGTACTCTAGCTCTCCTTGGGTGCGCCTAGCAGCGACCTTTCGCCTCAGGTCGAGTGTCTCATCGAATATGCATCCCCCGGTGTTGAGGCATGCTTTACAAGGTGGCGGGCGTCCGCTGCACTGTGATGCTTCTTCATTAGCAGAAGAGCGAAATAGGTGAATGGGCAGATGGAGGGCAAGCATGCAGAGTACTTGTCGGGAGAAAGGCCCTGAATTGCCAGATATGATTCAGTGAGACACGCACGCAGACAGTGTCTCCCTCCCTCCCTATGTTTCCCCACTGCCTGTAGGCAGAACTGAGAGTCCAGGTATTACCTTTCGCTTTGCCTGCTTGCATGGCAAACATGCTGTCGAGTTCTTCCTTGACTTGGCCAATGTGGTTGATCCAGTTGCAACGGGGCCTCGGGGCCCTGGGGCCAGGGAGGGAAGATGTTTGCCTTGGTTTTCGGTGTTCATTTCAGGCGACAATGTTCCCCCTCGACGAAGGAAAGGTAGCTATGAGATGATCGAGAGATGCTATCGCATCGCTGGTTAGTGATCAAGGCTGCTCTTGGGTCAGTCGGATCGTACGACATGGAAATCGAAATAAGACGTACGGCGATACTTTTTGCAGTCTGAACCTAATGGTCTTGGTGGGAAGGACCGCGAAGAAACGGATGTCGGCTCAGGAACACGGGCGAAAATGTTAACCACCTCACCCTATCTGAAAATTTCGGTATGGCGCCTGAGCTTGGTGGTTCAACTCTCATGAAAAGAACAATCTATTTCGGGAATCCTATCAATACGCATATTTCGTCAAACACGGATGCCAGCCTTTTAACGGTCGGTGGTCGTTGCTGATGACTTGTGCCGCGGTGACAACTGGGGTTGGGGAGACGATTTCAACCCCAGAGGTGACGAAATGGTTCAACAAATCGAGAATATCATGATACACGTGATAATAGACTTCCTCTATACGAGAGCCTGGGAATGGGAAGGGGCAGGGCTGGCAGAAGCAGAAAGACTTACCAGATAATAACTGCCCGGAACCATGACTAACGACCACCACATTTAAGCCAAAGCGCTTGCCTGGTATGAAAGACCCCTCAGCGGGAAGCAAACAAGCATCGATACCGGTTATTCCTGGGGCGAATCCCGATCCCTAACAAGGGGCCATGCTTAAAAAGGACCCCTAATACTACAAGTGGACAGCTCTCCTGATTATTTCCCCAACGTTCCTCGATGGGCAGAGGTCTGGCAGCAGCGCGAGGCGCATCGGAGCGATCTTGTCGTGGTATTGATTACGGCCCTATACCGTTCATTCCGGTCCGATCTACAAGTAATGACACCATGTTCGCATCCCTACGCGAATGACAAGTGTCAATGTCTTATGGCCTTATAGGTGAGGAAGCTTGGGTGTCACTAGCCCAGACGCATGCTAGCCAGGAAGCCTGGAATGTCGGTTTAGGAAGAGATAACACTTAACTTGGAAGGTGACAGGTATGCACGGGGTCCCTCGAACTGCAATTGGTCTACACAGTACCCTCAGGCCGTCAAATAAGCGTGCCACAAGGTAGGCCAGGAAGGCTCGCGCCCATCTTGCTGCCTCCCGTCGGGTCGTTCCAGTGCACTGTTTACTAGGATAAGGGATCCAGGACTCGAATGCATACAATACATGACATAAGTTAAACTCTACCTGCGGGTACCATCCGTGCCTAGCGATCTTACAGGCCGGGTCAAACAGCCATCGGGCCAGCGAACCGCAAAACAAAGTAAGGGAGAGTTTTGGGCAAAGCACACCAGACGGAGGGGGTAAAAATCAAAAAAAGAGAGGCGGGCAATATAGCAGGCAGGTGCTTCAGCCGACACCCGATATGCAGCAAATACAATAGGTGGAAAAGTTCACCGACCCGCAACACAATGAAATAGCACCAGCTAGAGGACTCCAGATCCTAGACTGGTCGAGGTCAAGGTCCACCATAAATCAGGTCGCCGGTCCACTCCTCAAATAACGAATAGCTACTGAACCAGACAGCTTATTACATCAGCCCAGCCGGCTCGCCTGTCAGAATGGGGGGCTCGCATCCTCTCACTGCATCCTTACTACGCGGCGAATGATGCTCTGTTCTAGCCTGCCATGGCATGGCCCCGCAGCAATTTTCTTGACTGATCCTAGTTAGCAGCTCGATGCTGGCGCCGGCTTATGTAGCTTGCTCGAACCAATGTGGTTTATGCGGTGCAAAGTTCCTTGGGCGTGACGCCTCGTAGCAAATACGGCTGAGCGGGTATAAGATGGCGATTTGGGACTGGCTCTACTGACCCGAGAACAGAGCCTTCTTGCAGTGGGACTGTGACCAAAGACTAGAGCTCTCGTGTTATAAGCTTAAATCGAGCGCCAGAGATCCATATTCTCTAGACAGAGTATGACATCCACACGGGCGCATTTCTATGCACCAAGTGGTTATCCTCCTTACAGCATAGGGACGGGAGGGGCGCGAGCTGGCTGAAAACCCCATCTCCACATAGCATCTGCGGCGAAGGTCGCGCCTGTCGATCATTAATAGTCCAGAGTTACATTGGGCCGGTCATCTGTTGCTGTAGGATCCTAGAGGCAAGTGTGCATACGCGGCTTGGGATACTCTCAGAGGGTCGCGATGAATGGGTCGGATCACCTGACAGCCCGCAGCACGACGGATTCGCGCAGAAACGGCCTTTTACATCACTGTGACATGAACCTCCTCCAATATTCGCCCTGTTACGAGGGGAACCACGCTTTCACTTAACAATTTGTTGGTGTCAACCGATGCTGGTCTTCCTTTCCTATATCGCCACCAATCACGATGACGCGACCAAGGCCTGGTTTTACATACCAGCAGCACGCGAGCTCCCCAGCATTTCAAATCCCTCGAACTCTGGGGCAACTCCTTTTCGGCCGGAGTCTGCCAGGGGGTGAACGTTAGTAAGGTCCAATCGCTTGGCATGATATATCTCGCTGCACCGAAAAGCATCGATCCAATCATCACAACTTAACCTTACCTCCGCGGTCTGAGCGCCAATCAAACATGCAGACTCGGCTCCGCCCCATCGTAGGCCATCTGGCCCTACAGACAGCTTGCCTAGACGTATGGCAAGAATAGTTCGATCTTCTCAACAATAGCCCCCCTCCCCTCTTCCTGCAACCTCACCGTTGAAGATACTGACGGACAGCCTGACGACCCGACAATAACATTCTTCTATTCGGGCACCACCCGGAAAGGAAACCCAAGTGCTGGGCATCCATGGTTATACAAGTAGCCGTGGTACAAAGTGCTTTCCCATTACAGTTTTCTCTTCATTTCTTGGACTGTCCATGTGGCTCAAATAAACCCCGAGGCTTTTCTTTATCCTTGCGTGCGGTGTCTGCAGGAGTTGGCTAATAAAGTTCTAGACAAGCATCCGAGTCACACTACTAATGATCTGTTGTCTCCAATCAAGAAGGCTGTAACATGCATCCACGGCATTCCAGTCTTTCTGGGTGCTTCTAGCCTTCTTAGCTCTACCGAAGGTTGATGCGTGTTCTGGATAGCCAAGGATAACTAGTAGATTGTGCTTTTTATTTGCGCCAGATGCTCTAACTCGAAAGGTATGTGCGTCTGGACTTCTGTGGAATGCAACCAACACTTCTGGCTGGGCGTAGGTGTGGAGGTCGATGGGATCGAATCACTCTGCAAAAACTGTTTCACCTTCACGTAAATAGGGGACTATTCGGCTCGCAATGAAAGTCCCACGGGCTCTAAGCACTAATAACTAAATACCGTGTCCGCTTTCGATGAAAGAGACCATCATACTCTGAGACTCAAATTGGCTGGAAAGCCAGAATGAAGCTTACAAGCATGCTTCTAGTCGACCAGGAATGCTAACCAGTTAACAAGCTCTTAATCAATACCTACCTAGGCCACAAAGACCTTTCAATTAAGCGAAAGTAGTATCCTTCCCAAGATATTGCCTAATCAAGGCGAACATGACTCCTTTCACCCTCCGCTTCCGGAGTGATAAGCCGCCGTCTATCTAATCAGAAGACGACACCGCCTTCGGTTAGCATCGGTACGAGGGGCTCAACGCATCAAGCCGATCGATATGCATACGATGGAGTCCGCTGTCAGATATAGAAATATATCGAATCTGTTACCAAATTGACGCGACAAAGAGACGGCCATCAGCCTATCACCGTATGTCCTGTTAGTTCGCGCCCTGTCAAGAACAACGGCGGGACGTTGCATATCGCGTGGAGGCTCGGATATCGATGGCAAAAAAGGAGTCGTCCCATAGAATCAAGGCACCCGAACCGGCAAGTCACTGTAAAAACTTTTTTTTCTTGGTTTATCCTTTCCCCTCCGCGGGGTTTGTCTGGGTGCTCCTTAAATTCAGTAGATAGAATCGTCGGTCCCTCCTCGTCTGTAGAAAAAGAAAAAATTTGCCATCTCAATTGCTTTCTTACCACTCGCTTTGCCACCAAACAATCTCTGCATCTCTGCAATTAGTTGGTTTTCTTTCCGCTCGGGTTACGGAACCGAAAGTCGACGCATAAGGTACTTCGAACGGATCGCCAGGGTCAGTCAACTCATTCTGTGACTCATAAAGCCTGTTTCGTCGCGGGATTCACTTGCGCCCAATCAATCTTTTCCAATTCCGCATATCTTATTTAATACCTTTTCTTTTTTTCCTTGATCACTTTCCTCGCAAATCATACATCAATCGCAATAATGGGTTCTGTTGCGCCTTCTCCCGCGGAGCTCGACGCCTCCGTCGTCAAGGTCACTCGCTCGACCAACCTTCGCGATGTGCCTCTTCCTGGCTCTCCCGAGGAATTGAGCCACTCCCACTGCACCGACCACATGGTCACTGCTCGTTGGACTGTCGCCAATGGCTGGGAGACTCCTGAAGTTCGGCCATTCGAGAACCTGAGCATCCCTCCCACGGCCTCGTGTCTGCACTATGCCACCGAATGTTTCGAGGGTATGAAGGTGTACCGGGGATTCGATGGCAAGCTGCGTCTGTTCCGGCCCGACTGCAATGGCCAGCGTCTGATGAACAGCGCCAAGCGCACCTCTTTGCCCTCGTTCCGGTATGAGGAAATCAAGCGTCTCATTGCCAAGTTGATGCAGATCGATGGACCTCGTAAGTTTGAACCTGAACCCGATTGCCGGGTGTGACTTCCGAGATCACGATAAACTGACATACCCTCGTCTTTTGTAGGTTGGCTACCCAAGGATCAACCTGGTCGATTCCTCTACCTCCGTCCCGCGTTGATTGGCAGCGGCCCACACCTCGGCGTCCAGACACCCAAGGAAGCCCTTCTCTTCATCATTGCCGTGCCGTGGCCTGACCCCTCGAAGAAGCAGTCCGAGCAGCCTGGTGTTCCTCATGGATTGAAGCTTTACGCTTCTCAGCCTGATAGCATTCGTGCTTGGCCTGGTGGTTTCGGATACGCGAAGCTCGGCGCCAACTATGGTCCGTCGTTGTTGGCGCATGGCAAGGCGCAGGAGCTTGGGTTCGATCAGGTGCTGTGGCTGTTCGGTGAGGATCGTCAGGTTACGGAGGCGGGTGCTAGTAACTTCTTCATCGTGTGGGAGAACAAGGAGACGAAGAAGCTGGAGCTGGTGACTCCTTCGTTGGAGAGTCAGCTTATCCTTCCCGGTGTGACTCGTCGTAGTGTGCTGGAGTTGGCTAGGGAGCGTCTGACTCAGTCGGTGGGCAAGCTGGCTCCTGTTGACGTCGTCGAAAAGCACTTCACTATCGGTGATGTCGAGGAGGCTTGGAAGGAGGGCAGGATCGTGGAGTCGTTTGTCTGTGGTACTGCTGTGGGTTTTCCCTCTTTTTACTTCACACCGTGTGTATGGTGACTAACTATGACATTCAGTACTTCGTCACTCCTATCAAGCTCATCCGCAGCGGAGATGTAGATATGAACATGCAGGAGGCTGGTGCTGAACGTGCCGGATATGCTGCTCAGATCAAGTCCTGGCTCGAGGCCATCATGTTCGGCATGAAGGGCGAGGCGACCCATGAGTGGGGATACGTCATTGATGGTGAAGTTGAACAATAAGCGTTGGCAGCGATGATGATCATGATGATGACGATGTTTTGTTTAGGGAGGGAAAAGGAAAAAGAGCCCGCTGGGAGGACTCATGCAGGGTAGGAGATGTTGGGTGTGGGGCAGCAGGAAGGGATTAGAGCTACTGTATATATTTAACTTATTTTGTCAGGTACCTTTTTAGAGTGGAATGATAGACTCATGTGACATGCCACGCTTGGTTGGATGGATGCTCCCATACTATTCTGCAGTTAAACCCGACAGAAAGTGCTGCCATGGATTCATAAACAGGATACTACTATTGAAGAGGTGTAGCATACTTGCTTTTATTAAGTTTTTCACTATCATGCACTATTGTAAGCCCATATGAGCTTATTGGATTGATCAGTGGAGACTACACATTTTATACCGTACAGATAGTTTAGAGTCAGGCAGGTTATTTATGCAAGTTCTTATTAGTAGCTATAACCTCAACGAAGTGCAGCGACATTTCGAGCATACTACGTAATAGATATAGTTGGCTTTTTAAAGATTGCCTTCTTTTGGTTATCCAATAAATTACTGTTACTAGGATATATACATTTCAAACAATCCTTCGACTCTGTAGTACTTTTCTCAACTTCAAGTTTCTCAGCTCAAGCTTCAATTTCACTAGTACTACACTCTTGTTCATCATCCTAGAGTATAACCCAACCATCATCCGACAATGCGTCTTTTCACTCCAATTACCCTCCTTCTCGCTACTACTATTGCTCCAGCCATGGCTGCTGCAGTGAATGTCGACTATGATCCAAGCCGCATTTGCAACGCTGATGAAGTACGTATCTATCGTGTTCCGATCAGATTTACTTCTTGGTTATACCTCCTGTTGGAAAATTCAGACTACTTACACCAGTACCAATACATTAGAAATGCCGTTATACTACCGACTACCCGATGGACGACTTCAAACCACCTGCCAGGGAATGCACATGTCCTACAGGGGTAAGTAAGCGGATGAGAAATAAGCATGCAGTGATTGTCTGAAACTGACTGCTGCTATCCTAGTCTGAGTGCACTTTTGAGAAGGATGATATATGGAATAGCGCCGTAAGTAAATCTCAGGATTCATACGTTACTACTACTACTACTACTACTACTACTACTACTAGGACGATTATACTAACATCTATCTCCAGATACACATATACTCATGCCAGTAGAACCTTCCACCCCCTAAGTCGGCCATCTTAGGATAGGTCTACATCACATTAACATGAACTTCGTCTCCAATAACAAATAACTATTCGGTGATTGGTGTGCCGGGATGGGATGTCGGAAGTATTTTGTTCAGTGTGTATTCTTGGGTGCAAGTTCTATCTATATACTAACTAGTACCTCGGCCATTATGATGTACCGATAGGGGCTAAAATAGGAAATACTACTAAAATAGCTCATGGCTACGAGGCGAGATTAGGTTTCGAAACCTTGTGTGTGGTATTGGTTTGAAGTTGTTGCTAAATCTATAGAGGATACTACTACTACTAGTAACGATAGTATATTCCAGTCCGCTCTAGCTACCAGATAGTATACTATTCACCCAGCAGTTGCTACTAAGTCTACAGATCTGCAGTGCCATCCCGGATGACTGCTAGTCTGCTCATGATAAGTATAGGTATTAGTTGTAAAGATATACGCCCTGAGAAGTGATTCTATATATATATATATATATATATATATATATATATTTTCGTATAGCTGATGGGTGCCTCCTCAAGCCTCTCCCATATCTACACGATCCTGTGTGGAATCGTCTCCTAAATCTACCACCACCATCGGAGCATACTCTCCTAGCTCGTCGTCTTCATCATCATCGTGCATGTCAAGCTCCACCTGCTCACCATCCTCCAGTTGAACCATACCCCGCCGAACAAAGACCTCACGGTTCAGCTCCCAGTCATATTCCTCCTTAACCCAAGCCTCGAGCTTGTCAAACTCAGCCTTCACCACTGACTCCGTACCATCAACGATCTCATAAAGCGACCGTCTAAACTTCACAAGTAGTCTTCGCAAGAACTCACCACCTTCCTCACCATCAAGGTCAAACAGCCCCCCTTCGACATCATCACACCTCTTGAGCTGCAGTAAAAGCAACCTCAACACCCCAGCCACCAGGGTCTCTCTATCCCGTATAGCCGCCCGACACGTCAGAATCAACTCCAACAGCCTCTTCCACTGCTGAAGACAAGAGTAATTCATGAGCGTCAAGATCATCAAGAACGCAAACTGCAATTCCCCTAGCACCTGATCCTCCCCAGCCCTCTCATCACCCTCAGAAACCCTGTGTATCAAATCCCCCAACGCCCACGAGCGATCCTGCGCAGCCTCCGTCCTCTCACGCCCAATAGCCCCCTCCCGCCACGTCCTCTTCAAATCAACTGGCAGAAACCCGAACTGACTCTCCTTCTCTCCCGTAACCTTCTCCAATTCCTCCGTCGCCTCCGCCGAATCCATCAGCCCAGGTATAACATCCGTATCCCTCTGCGCCGAGCTAGCAGACGTAACCATCCACCGCGGCCGACCATCCACATCCAAAGCCGGATCGCCCACAACGCGCGTCAAAAGCTGCAGCGTCAATTTGTCTGTCAATTCCTTCCAAGTCTGTCTTCCTTCTTTCTCGTCCTCTTCATCGACTTCAAGCTGTACTGGATGTCCAGCATTCTGTTGTGCCAAAGCCGCCGGTGACACTCGACTGCGGTACCGGAATAATCCTCCTCTTTGCCATATAGCTCCCAGATTCGCTTTATGACGCATTGCTTCTTGCTTGTCCGCGTCGCTGTCGATGGTTAACGGGGCTAGGGTCTCGGTGTCGGTGTTCCATTTCCAGACGATTATGTCGGCGCCGGGGTGTGAGGGGGTGGTGAGCGCGACGCTGCCGGCTTGGGCTTCGCTGAGTTTGGTTATGTCACCGACGTAGAACCAGCCGCCACTTCGGAGGGATAGACTCTCTGTTGTTCCGGTATAGAGGAAGTGCCATCCTGAGGGGAGGTCGCGGATTCCGTGGAAGCTGGGGGTCGAGGTGAAGGTTATGAGGTCGATGCCGACAAAGGTCTTTGGTGGGAGGTGGGGGACGAGAATTGTAGGGGAGGGTGCAAGTGTGGATGTCATGTCTGCGTTATGAGTACCTCCCAAGTGTGAGTTGGGTTTCTTAATGGTGGGATAGCTGTGCTTGGTCGTGTCGCATGTAAAAAGATCGGATCGCAAAGCTGACGTCAAATCAGATTGAGGCCGGATGGGGTAATGGCTGTTTATGTTGGTGTATCTCAGAGTACGGCAGAGGGAGTAGTTAATGCATGGAAGACGCTTGATGAGTCCAGAATCGACGTGTAAGAAATTGTGGTAGGGACAGGAAGGTGGAGGGGAGCTCTGGGTAGATCAATAAAATGTGCTTATCTTAGCTTGATTGCGGGATAAGGAGCCCGGCTACGGAAGATCAAAACCCAATGCCTGCCAGACCTGAAGACTTACATTCACCAAGCGCAAGAAATATCGAGGTGCAAGAAATAGCCAGTCAAGTTGCAGGATTCTATATGCATGTTCTATGTACTGTGATTCTCTACACGTAGAAGTTACAGTCAAGGACCACATCAGTTCTAGGTTCAGTTATATTGACTATAGCAACCGCCACACAGACAGCAGACTACCTAAATCCAGAACCGAAAGACACACTTTTGGGTATGTAATAAATTGAAGACCAGGCGATAAAGGCCGTTCTTCGCGTTTATTCCATCCACATACGGCAAGCAAGGCCAAGTCCGCTCCGATCCAACCATGCGGAGAAGCTCCGCACAACTTGGAAGAGATGAACCCGCACATGCTTACAAACGACGACCACGGCGACCACCCTTGCGACGAGTAGAGTCGGAGGGAGTGGGGGTGACGTCCTCGATACGGCCGATTCTCATGCCGGAACGGGCAAGAGCACGGAGGGCGGACTGAGCACCGGGACCGGGGGTCTTGGTGCCGTTACCTATATCCAGTATTAGTGATTGTTCTCGTGGAGTTGATGCTTTCATAGCGCTCGTTCACATACCACCAGTGGCACGGATCTTGATGTGGAGGGCGTTGATGCCAAGCTCCTTGCAGCGAGCAGCAACATCCTGAGCAGCCAACATGGCAGCGTAGGGGGAAGACTCGTCACGGTCAGCCTTGACCTTCATACCACCGGTGACACGGCAGATGGTTTCGCGACCACTGTTATCCCAATCAGTTAGCCATCTGTGTCCCGCCAAACAGCGTTTTGCGACAATTCACGATATCCGACTCCGAGTCCATTGCGGGGCGCGAAATGTTCACCGGAGAACGGAATTTCGTGCAGTCGATAATCGGATTTTTCAAGATTTGACGAACCTCAGATCGGTGACGTGGACGAAGGTGTCGTTGAAGGAGGCAAAGATACGGGCAACACCGAAAACGAGCTTGCCTGCAAATCATCTCAAATTAGACATGGTCTCGATCGCAAATTTGTAGAACGTGCACTGGGTTGTACATACCATCTCCGGCCAAAGGACCGAGAGAGACGTTCTCCTTGGCAGCACCGGCGGTCTTCTTGGGAGCCATTTTGTCGACTTGCTGGGGTAGTGGGATGGAATATGGAAGGGAAGGAAAAAGAGAAGTTCGATAGGCCTCAAATGGCTTGGATACAGAAAATGACTGGTGTGTGCCCTACCCACGGCGGCTCACATTCTGATTGGCTGAAAGTTGATCAAGGGCGGTGGGCAAGCGAGTGTTGTAGCCTGAGGCCGCGGAACCGCGGTGAATCAACTCGATGACTCTTTCTGTGACAGGCGTTGTAACGCCGGATGGGCAGTCGGCCCGGTTTGGTGCTCCCACCAGCACTATTTAAAATTTCTGCTGCAACCTCCCGAGCTATAACTTTCTTCTTTCTCCTCATATCCAATCAGGCAGACAGTCGGACTCCGTGGCTTTGTCTGCTGGCTTGTTTATTGGCTCAATTGAGCGTGTCGCGCAGCCTAGTTTCTCACAACAAACAAGACTGAACGAGGACTAATCCAACCAGCAAACATGGGCTTCACCAAGGAATCAGCCACGATCGGCATCATTGGCATGGGAGACATGGGCAAGATGTACGCCCAGCGTCTGAGCGCTGCCGGATGGAGGTAATATTTAAACAAGTGTCCTTCCCAGTCAGTTGTTTCCGATTATGACCCTGGTGGTGTGTGTTATTGTAATAGGTGAGCATCCCCCTCTGTTCTTATCTCTCTCGCTTTCCCCTTGCTTCCTCTCCCCCTCTTTGGATGATGACTTGAGTGCATTTGGCTCGAGTATGGCCTGGAGGTAAGCTTTCCTACCTTGGTAGGTTTGCGACTCCGCCAGACCGTCAATGATGTAACATCTCAGCTACCTATATTTCTTTGTCTGAAACCCAAAGCTATCAACATTTATGATGATTGATTCACACACTTGCGCATTATGGGCTTGTGCTAACCATTCTGCCAAACTAGGTTCTCGCGTTGTATATCTTTAGAAGAAAAAAAGCATCAAGCCGGACTGAATTAGCTATACTAACTATTTACTCTTCTTTATCTATCAAGGATTAATGCATGTGACAAACCCGACTCGTATGAGCGTCTTATAAAAGAATTCGAATCCACAGTACGTCCATGATACTTCGCAGCTCGCGCTGTCCAGACATAAACTCATCCTTCATAAAACCAAAAAGCAAAATGTCACTATCTTTCCCAATGGCCACCTGGTTTCCAGAATAAGCGATTACATTATTTACAGTGTAGAGGCCGGTGTCATCGACAAGGTAGTGGAAATGTATGGCCCGTGTATGTATTTCAAGTTGCAAAGGCTTGCTTGCTTGCTGCGCCCTTATATTTGCATCATGAGTTTTGAAATGTGCCTGTCTGACTTGTGGAAAATCACATAAAAAGCTACCAAGGTCGGTGCAATCGTCGGTGGTCAAACGTCCTGCAAAGCCCCTGAGCTCGCGGCTTTCGACAAACACCTTCCCAAGGACGTAGAGATCGTATCATGCCATTCGCTACATGGCCCTCAAGTCAACCCCAAGGGTCAACCTCTGGTACGCTGCTGCCTGCCTGCCTGCTTGCCTGCTTGCCTGCCTGTTTTGCTTGAAGCATATCATATGCCCTCAGACCCAAGATCGCACAGGACAAAGTATGATAACATAACGCCCGTTTGCGTTTTTGTGTCTAGGTCTTGATCCAGCACCGTGCCTCCGATGAAAGCCTCAACTTCGTCAAGGAAGTCCTGTCATGCTTCGAATCCAAATTCGTTTTCCTCTCCGGAGAGATGCATGATCGCATCACGGCAGATACCCAGGCCGTCACCCATGCGGCCTTCCTGAGCATGGGAACAGCATGGCAGGCCAACCAGCAATTCCCCTGGGAGATTAACCGTTGGGTGGGAGGTATCGAGAACGTAAAGATCAACATCACCCTACGTATCTACTCCAACAAGTGGCACGTGTACGCCGGTCTTGCCATCTTGAACCCAGCGGCGAAGAAGCAGATCCGGCAGTATGCAGAGTCCGTGACGGATCTGTACAAGCTCATGATTGAGGGCCGCCGAGACGAACTCAAACGCCGTGTCAGAGCTGCAGGGGAGGCCGTTTTCAAAGCGGGTACCAACGGCCAGGATCTGCTGTTGAAGGACGAAGTCCTCGACCGTTTCTCCCTGTCAAACCGGGAACGTGAGCAGGCTCCTCCAAACAGCCATCTCAGTCTGCTTGCCATCGTTGATTGTTGGTCCAAACTTGGAATTGTCCCCTACGATCATATGATCTGTTCCACGCCTGTGAGTTGTTTTGTCCCTTGCTTTCCATGGCGTTCCTGCCTTCGTTTTTTCCTTCTCCGCGCAATTTATGCGATGTAACGTTGCTTTAAAGTCAAAGTCTAATCATCGCGCGCGCGTGTGCGTGCAATCTATATAGCTTTTCCGTCTCTGGCTGGGCGTCACGGAATACCTCTTCCGCAATCCCGAACTCCTCGAGGCGGCCCTCGACACTGCAGTCGACGATAAGACGTTCCGTTCGGATGACCTGGAATTTACCTTTGCAGCTCGCGTGAGTATTATCCCTGTTTTGCTTCAAGAAAGACCCTGGCCGCGTTTGTGCGGTTTTATTCCAGTCCAATAGATATGGATGGGAACCCAACCCCTCCTCCAATGCACATTTAATCCGATTTGTACAACAACAGTACCACTGACGTCATTCACTATAACTCGTGCAGGCATGGTCGGACTGCGTATCGTTCGGTGATTTCGAATCCTACCGCGACCGGTTCGAGCGGATCCAGCAGTACTTTGCTCCCCGATTCCCCGAAGCCGTCAAGCTGGGCAACGAAATGATGAAGACCATTCTGGAGAAGACTGCAACGGGCCAAGCCTAGTATAGGAGAAGACACACCGAAAGAGATGAAAATCGAGTAATGCCAATGGCTCCTCACTAAGTCTAAAAGCCCAATCACAAGAAGAAGCCGGCTAGGGAAAGTCGGGTAGCGCGTCTAGAATAGGTGGATGTCTCTGCGCCAGTCCGGCAGGATCGGGGAGGGGGGCAATCCATAATAATCATACTCACCATAATAATATACTAATGATATTAATAATAATGTGTAATAGGCAGCAACTGGCTCGCTCGTTGGATAACGACGACGACTGGTAACAACAGTGGAACTTTGGTAGACGACGTACGGGGATTATCCCTTGAACTAATCGCAATCGGGCAGATAAGGGTAACCCTTGGATTGTTGTTGACAGGGTCTCCTTTACGAGGTCGAAGGAGAGTCATGGAAAGTCATGGATCTTTCTTTCTTGATGTCAGGCAAGAATGACTATTATTGTTTCCCCCCTTAACTATCGTTGTTCTGTGTGGTTGGAGCAGCTCTTGGTATGCTGAACGGGCATGTATGTATGTAGTATGTTTTTGTTCACGCGCGCGGAGGCTCAGGTCGCTCGCACTGTTTTGCGCACGGAATATTCCACCGTATCGCTATGGGCTGGGCTTTATCCATTTAGGGCAATTCGCATACGTTTCATGGGTCCCGCTGTGGCAGTCACTAGGATGCTAAGCCAGGATGTTATTAGTCCAAATGGTGGCTAAAGGTACTAGGCTGCTTGGTGTCGTATCTTTGAGAGGTGCCAAAACTCTGGAATGGAGATCGTAGACCCAATCCGATCCCAAGAGACTTGAGGAGGGTAGTATCGATCTTGGTCCTCTTGCATGGATAGACAATTGAGTAAAGTGTGTGTGTGCGCGCACGCATTTCGAAGCGACTAGCTACTGCTAGAGCCGATATCTTATATTACTTGCATGGCCTGCTTTGGGAAAACAAATGGTTGATCTGTATGCTGCATGACGTTTTAGACGGAGACCCTCCTTTGAGGCTTCAGCCCCGGGTCGTGGGAAGTCCGCGGTTCCGGTAGGGGATTTACGGAGTACGTCGGATCATTTTAATCGATTGCTCTCCGGATGGATACTAAACTTTGAATGCCATGAGTTTCGGGCGAGAAGGACAAGATACGCAAAGATGGATGGGAAGTAATGGTAATGGTCCGGAGCAGACCGTTTTTCTTGGGGCACGTCGAAGGTTGTGCTCGATCGATTAATCTTGGCATCGATGCACTGCTAAGTCCAAAGCGGTTGGTTGCAGCCTAGCTGGATATTGATAGTTCATGAACTTGTCGTATACAAAGTAATTTAAAAGCGCTATCTGTACGGACCAGGCCGTCTTGTGGCGTAGTGTCGTATCTGCTGGGGTATGCTAGGATAATTACGATCCAGGCTATGGCGCTTCCTGGCCTGCATCATCGTCTGCATGGCCATTGTCTTTTCAAGCCACCAGATGATGTAGTGGTTGTCGAAGTGGGGTATCACATGGCTGCACTATTTGCATGGCAAAATTTTTTTGCTTGCGAGGTGCTAAGAATAACCGAGCTGTGGACTGATCGAGTTTGGAGGCGTCGGAGGCTCGGAGAAGTCTTGCGTTATTGGCCTAGTCCGCCCTAGACGAGTCACAATAATGACAGCTTCAGGAGCCCAAAACATAGGGGGCGTCCGACCCAAGGTGGTCCTGCTTCTTTTCTGAAACCATGCTGCGCAACCTTTCCCCATACACTTTATCATGTCTGTACTCCGCTGCACGCAACAGGCCATACTGACTGTCGGTCAACCATGAGAACGTGCGGAAATTGCTGAGTTGTTCATATGCCTTGGGAGACGTGTGGAAAGCGTATAGGGATACGGTGTTCGTTCTTTGGTGCATAAACCATGGTCATGATTAGACTTTTACTTCTTGCCCCCCTCCTCTTGGTTTCCCATTCGCCTCGAACCCCTTTTTATGGGAAAAGAAAAAGGGTTAAGCCCAGCATTTTCCAACCCAAGGTTGCCCGGCTGTCCTATTTCAAGAATGGTAAAACAGCCGTCTCAAGACCTTGCAATCGGCGATGACCTCGCCCGTGGAAAGCCAGTAAACGAAGGTCCCGTCTCCCGGCTCGACCGTGTGATTGGATCCGTTATTCCGTCGGCCCACCCCTGGATGAGCAGCGAAAGAACGCCAGGATCGGTGAGAATACGACTGCTTCCGAGATCCGAGAACTTGGTCTTAGCTACGGAAGGCGGATGCTGATTGGCAGCAGTGGTCCTGCACAGGATTCGTGCGTCCGAGAAAGTCGTGTGGGTGACCACTCACGTCTAGTGACGAAAGGGTCCATGATTGGCGCCAGGAACATTAAGCGGACTTGTGAGCTCGACGATAGCAGGTAGCAGTGGACAAGATAGTAGAGAACCTGTAGCTAGCTATTACACCGGAGCCACTTTGTAAGTAATGACTCAGTTTTGAGAATAGTAGATGAGTGGCTACCGATGACGATGCAATGATAATAAATCATTGGGTGGTGGTGGAAGGGGAGAAAGCTGAGTGACAGATGGAAACAACAACCGGGATACCTGTATCTGGATAGAACTTACAGTACTGACTTAGGTACTCTTATTCCGGTTCGCTTTCCGGAGTACTTTTACTCCGGTCTCTGGTAAGAATGGGGGATAGATCATTTTACCATAGCCTCTTGGGGTTGAAAATAGGTCAAGATAGGTGTAACCAAACGACGAAGCAATAACTAGTTTCGTTTGTAGATGATGATGGATGGACCTTCAAACGAACAACAGATGCGTGCCAGTGAGGGAAGGGGACCGGGGGGTGGGAAGAACAACAGAAGGAATAACAAGGGAAAAAGGACTGAGTTGATGGGTCCGGCTGCAGGCTGCAGTCTGATTGATCAGCTGCTGCTCTCCGACCCAATTGGCATGTCTCCATCCATTGAACGGTTGAAAATCATGATGCTGGATTCCCGGCAGAAGTTCCTTTTCGCCTTTTTTTTGCCCCCCCTCTCTACAGTCTACGTACTGTGTATTATTACTCTTCCACCCACACACACACACCCCCCTCTCCGAGAGAGAGTCTGTCGGACTGTCTTTCTAACTAGTAACTACTGTACTAGTGTCCTTCCTTCCCTCCCAAAAACCCACACCCACACCCAGTCATCCACTTCCTCCCCCCCCCCCAAGAAACCCAAATTCAATCCAGGCTCCTCTCCCGTCTGCAAATAAGCACCCAAACGAAAGTTGCGCATGGACCCAACTCCATGGAAATGGCATAGTCCCATCCTGGTTTGATTAAATGTCCACTAGGCAGTCATCGTACCTTGGGTCGGAAATCCCCCTTCTCCGGCTGCTAGTATGGTTTGGGACATTGCTGGGCTCTGCCTCCAGCACTCTGTCTGGGCACAAGCTGGCGAGCACAGACCATGTGGCCATTCCACTCCCAAAATATGCCCACTGAGAGGCCGGAGAGGCGTGGCAGCTGGGGGAACTTTAAATTGGGAAAAACCCGAGGATTTTCGCCATGGTTGATCTGAGAAAAAAATCAAGGTACCCGCTTGCCTTGCGCGGTGGGCATATCTATCTGACAATCGCCCATTTTGATTGACGATCTTCTCCTTTCGTGGGCCCAATCTTGCTTCCTATCGCTGTTGGATCTGAATAGACTCGATTGCCTTCACTCACCCTTCTGCCCTTTCTGTCTCCCTGGCAGCTGCTAGTCTGTCCATCGGAGGGTGTTCGCCCGCATGGTAGCGTGATCTTCCATCTCTTCATCGTTGTGATTGCCATGCAGATCTGTCGCATGGCGTCTGTGGCACATCACTATGTGGCTTAGGACAATCATGCACCTTTCGATTCTTCAATTGCTCTAAGTATGAATAGCCCTTGTTTCCCCTGTCCCTCCAAACATGGCACCTATGCTCTAGCAACAATCCCTTGCCAATGGACGTGACTGCGGTACCCCCATCGTCGTCGAGACCCATTGATGGTTCATGACGAACATGGGGGACTTTCAGTCTTGTATACCGAAAGACTTTCAGTAGATGTCGATTTTCCAGTGGATGCTTGGTCTTTACTAACAGAATCTGTCTGCGCAGTGATGCTTCCCATCTCGTCTATCTATGAATATCAGACTTCCAGCAGCAACTGCTAAGATTCCAGCATTTACACTCCCAGGAAACTTCCACCAGAAGGTGTCGCCCGCCCGCAAGCCTGGTTACATTCTATTCAGGACAGTCCTTTTGTGATACTATTCTTTTGGTATCCTTATATTCTTTCTCATTGTATTATTCGTGAAGTGGCTTGGGCCCGCTGTCTCCTCTCATTTTCTCTACATTTACACTGATTCGACCATCAATCACCTATTCCTTCCTTCCCTCAAAACCTAACATTGAAACGATCCTTCTTACCATCCTTCTTACCACCCAAATGAAGTTCTCAAATCTCTTAGCTGCTGCAGTCGCTACCTTTGGTCTGGGTAAGTTCTTCCTTCTGAAGTCATTGTACCTGCTAAATTGGCTGACTGTATCTATTCAGTGCGCTCAGGATGCAGCCAAATAGTCAAGCACAGGCCCTCAGAAGGTGCAGGTGTCTCCTATAGCATCAATGTACCTAAGAATACCTCTTCGACGGGCTCTGGCCCCATCTTTCTCCAATTACAGGCACCACCTGGTGTCAAATGGTTTGCCCTAGGTCAGGGGTCGCAAATGACAGACGGGAACTTGTTCATCGTCTATGCAGCATCCAGACACAATGTCACCTTGTCCACTCGGAGGGCAACCGGTCATGTGCAACCTCTTTATGACCCGAGTATCGAGGCATATCTTCTTGACGGCTCTGGTATCCACGACGGGGTCATGACCGCTAACATCCGTTGTGATAACTGCACAACTCTTGCTAATGGAGAGAGTGCACTGGGCAATTCCAGCTCCTGGATGTGGGCCCTGACGCATGGCCCTCCGATGATGTCCAGCAACGTATCCCAGCTGTTATACCAACATGACTGGCACGGCACTTTCACCCTGAATACCACTTGGGCTGTTGGGGGCAACAATACCAACCCCTTCGTTGTCCCGATGGCAACCATGCACGAGCTGTCGGCATACACTCACCAGCAGCAAGTCAGCGATACCATTCTTCATAAGAAACGAATCGCCCATGGCGTGATGACTTCAGTGGCCTTCGTCCTTCTCTTCCCCAACTTCGCTCTTCTTTTGTACATCGTCCCTTCTCGGCGTACAGTACCGTGGATTCATGCTCCTCTGCAGCTTTTTGCTGTGCTCCTAGCGTTAGCTGGGTTTGGGGTCGGTGTCTCTGTCTCCAAAGATCTGCAGGAGATTGGAGGCTACCACCCGGTCATCGGTTATGTGGCGGTTGGGGGTGTTGTTTTGATCCAGCCAATACTGGGCATCATGCAACATCTCCACTTCCGCAAGACAGGAACAAGTTCGCTATATGGCGTCTCCCATCGTTACCTAGGACGATTTTTCGCGGCCCTGGGAGTCATCAATGGCGGAGTAGGGTTTCATTATGCCACTGCCAAAAATCCTGATATTCCTCCGGCTTCCCCTATTGCTTATGGCATAATATGTGGGTCAATGTTCATCATCTACGTCTCCGTCATCTTTTGGAGGAGATCGAAGTCGGCATCCAAGACCTCGAGGTTTAGTTTACCCTTCTTCCGACGGCGACAAGAGAAACCGCCGATCGCCAAACTCGAAAATAACAGCGACAGCACACTTTGTGGAAGTGGAGTTGTTGAGACGTCACGGGAGAAGTCATGGTTGCCATGAAGTTCCCGCAGAATATCACGATCATTATCAGCATTTTGTACTACCAAGCGTACATTTTCGTTGGGTCTTGCATATCCGGAGTTCGTCGTACTACAGCATCGTGCCATCTTCATTCGTTTCCGATTTTCTATTCTCGCCCCTGTCTTCATGTAATATTATATTGCATCAACAGGATCTCTCACTTGTCTTCCACCCCAACCTTCGCTAATCTCATGCATTATATCTCAGAGAGATTCTTCTGTATATATACGAGCTAGCTCGTTTGACTACTTGCCATGTGTTTCATGACTATGTTGGTCTTTCGCGAAGAGGCATCGATCACGATGCCCAATCAATTATATTCACTAGTCAATCATAAAATTGTATGGTAACGAATTAGAGAATAAACACACATCCAAGACTCAAACATCGGTGAGCAATCGGTAGTGGAGGCCACAGAAGCGACGATAAACTATAAGTAGTTGCTAGGTTAAGTTAGTTAGCCTGAGGCGATAAGAGCGGGTTAGTCAGCTGGGGGTCCGGCCTGAAACCACCAGCGGTGGGATTGGAGAAAGACCCCGGTCATTGAGGCAGATTGCTTGCTTCGTGCTCTAACTAGCATCTAGCGTTGTCATCTGCAGCCTGTGCTACATGTGATTTGATTCTTAGACGCCCTCAACCTTCCCGATCTTCCCCCCCCCTCCCTCAGCCTCATCACCTTCGTGACCGCCGTGGTTTTGTTTCCCCTCCCCTCCCTTTTGAGGTGCCCGCCGTCAGCGAGCACGCCCATCGAGAGCAGTCGGTTTCCAGTCACCCCGGGCACTTCGATCGCTCCGATAGTCTCGGTAATCTTGTCGGCGAACTCAATGCAGTCCTCCGTCCCTTATTTCAATTGCGACAGGTGATACGCACTCCTCTCTTGCGGCTAGATGGAGCTCTATGGCGTCCGGACATAACTCAGCGTTCTCCGCGACGTCAATCCAGCACCGTGCTGTGGGTGATGGACGGTCATATAATAGCTTGGAGGATAACACTGCAGACGGTAGCTGGGCCGAGTCCACTACGCGAACCGGACGAAATGCTCGTTCGGAGTCTGGAGGCAGCGCGACCATTGGTCTCCGGGGAGGGTCATTAGCCCCTTCTTCGGGGGCCCCTGGTAGCTTCAGCTCCGAGCTGAAAAGCATGAAGACGTCGCGGAGCACTACCCCTCGACCCGAAGGTGTTTCCGCACGAAGACCGAGCAGTTTAACAGAGCACGATGAATTGTCCAGCACCGAAGAGCGCCAGGCCGTGATTCGGGACAAGATCGCCAAAGAAATGAAAATCAAGACGGGGACGGAAAACATGCTCGAGGCGCTCCTGGCGAAGAACCCGAAACATACCAAAGATCAAAGGCTAAGGGTGGAATCGGAACTGAGTTCATCCAACCGCAAGCTTGTCGAACTACATCATGAACTGGAGGAGGAAATGCTACGTGCGCAGGCGCCGTCCACCCCTCCCCGAAGTCGTCTCTCAAGCCTTTTTCAAGGCGGCTCGATGCGTTCGCCCACTCGGAACAATATACCCCTCGAGGAGCAGCAGATCCCGGAAGGTGAAGCGGAAATGGAATCGCCAACATATGTGCTTGCGGAAACACTCCAAGCCCTGGAAATCGAGGGCATGTCCCCAGATTACTACGTCGAGCGTGCGAATAGTCTGGTGGAATTGTTCAAGAGACATCCTACCTTGAAGTACGACTTGGAGTGGTCGGTGTTTGGGCTCCGCGTGCAAATAATGCTCTTGAGTGACAGCAAGGAAGCCGTGGCCGCAGGGTATCGTTTGACTCGTTATGCCATCGCGGATCGGAAGTCGTTGCAAATCATCCGGTCATTACACACAGACGAGCTGGTTATATTGTCCCTTGTCAAGGAAAGCAAGGCGAGCATCGAGCGTGAGCAGGCTTTGAAGTTTGTTAGAGCGTTTTTGGACGTTAAGGATGGCGTTCGGGAAATTTCGCGCGCTGTGGTCAGAACGATCGTCTCTGTTGCCGAACATTACGAGGACCGACTCCGGAACATTTCCATCATGACGCTAGCCGAAATCTTGGTTAAGGATCCGGCACTAATCGCATACTCTGGGGGCTTTGCCACTCTACATGATGCTCTAGCAGAGGGGACTTTTGGCGCCTCAGAAAGTTTGATAGCAAGCTTCCTTCATGTCCTTGATACCCCTCACAGCAGGAAACATCTTCGGGGAGGGTGTGAGCTCGAGGCTGTTCTCGCACCGTTCACTGACTCCTTGTCGGATACTGTCCGCAATGGGCGCCTTAGATCTTCAGCTAGGGCTATCTCTGCCATGCTCAAGACGTGGCCAGGTTTGATAGTTCTCGCGAGAAATGGGGCCCAGCCTTTGCAGTCACTCTTGGACTCATTACACTACCCTGATCCGCAGGCAAGGGATCTCATTATGGAGCTTCTGTTCGATGCGTTGAGGATAAAGCCACCTTCATGGTCCTCCTCATTCCTCGCTGGTCGGAGGTTGACAACTTACGGAAGAGTAGCTAATCTCCGGACTGAGACTGATACAAAGCAAGCTCGAAGTTTTTATGATGACGATGGGAATAGATTCGATTTAACAGCACATTTCTCGACTCTTATCCTTGCAACCCTGGTGGATGCAGGTTTGTCCAAGGTCGGTCCTCCAATTCTGGGTTGTGGTAATCTATTAACACGATGCAGGCTCTCTCCGATCTCATTGAGGATGAAACGGACCTGTCTCTTAGACGCAAGGCGACATTGCTCTTGACCGAAGTCCTGAAGCTGGCACATCACTCTCTGCCACAGCATATCAGTGCGAAGCTCCAGGTCCTCCCGCATCTGCTACCGGCCGCTATAAAATTCGACGTCGACAACCATGATGTTTCCACCTCAACCATATACCAGATCGAAAGCATAAACAGAACACTGGCCCGCTCTGTAGGAGGTGTTTCAAATGGAGCGGGGCGTTACAACGTCGACGTTGACATCTCTGCTTCCATACTCACTGGCGACCAAAACAAGGAGAAACTGAGTCCTGCCATGGATGAGACCCAGTTCCGCAATGCCATCCTGGAGACCCATGTTCTCAATACTGTGAACTACCTAAAGTGGAAGTGGGATTTGATCCACCGTATTGTTGAGGGACCTCTGACCAACCCCAAGAGGCTGGAGGAAGCAATCAAGGGTTCAAAGTTCATGAAGCGACTTATGGGTTTCTACCGGCCATTCAAATATAGGTTCTCTATGCTGCCAAACACAAAACCAAACCAACGTTATGTCCGCACTGGTTGTGCGCTAATGCGCACGCTGGTGCAATTACCAGAGGGCATCAAGTACTTGGCCGAGAACAAGTTCTTGAGGCAGGTTGCAGAGTGCCTTGCTCAAGTTGACCGCATGAGCGGACTGACATCCTCCTCGCCATTATTCTCGAAAGAACAGATGACCAACACATTGAGCGGTGGATACTTTGCGATGCTGGGAGTTCTCAGTGGCGACGCCAACGGGCTTGCTATGATGGAGCGTTGGCACATGCTCAACATGTTCTACCATATTATTGAGCTTCGGGATCGAGACGACCTCATACAAACACTGCTCGGTAACATGGACTATGCCAAGGAAAGTCACTTACGAGTCATCCTCTCCAAGGCACTCACCACTGGCTCCAAGGAGATTCGCATATTTGCGACCAGGCTTTTACGAAAATATGCGGTCGGAAACGTTCCCCTTTCCTCACAGTCGGCCACTGGTTATGCGGACTGGGTGGTCAAGCTGCTGGTTACACAGCTATACGACCCTGACGTGTCTGTATGTCAAGTAGCTGTGAAGATTCTCGAAGAAGCATGCAATCAGCGTCACTATCTCGAGTTCGTGGTCAAGTGTCGCCCTTCCCTTGATCACTTGGGCGAAATCGGTGCGCCGTTACTATTGCGCTTTTTGTCCACCTCAGTTGGATATCATTATCTGGATGGTCTCGACTACATTACACAGGAAATGGATGACTGGTTTCTGGGCCGTAACGACGCATACGTGGGCCTTGTCGAAGCCGCGCTCTCGCGTGCCTACGTCGATCAACCGCGTCGGAACAGCTTTGTCCCTGAAGATCTTGTAGATCTGCAGGACATCGGACTAGTGCCTCCCCATTTCTACAGAGAACTCGCTCGGACAGCGGAAGGATGCAAGCTTCTGGAGCAGTCAGGGCACTTCAATGAGTTTGCGTGGACCATCCGCGATTTTCAGCTGGATGAAGAAGACACAGAGGCTCTTCTCAAAGTGAAAGGTTGCCTTTGGGCCGTTGGTAATGTCGGCTCCATGGAGCTCGGTGCGCCGTTCCTTGAGCCTGATATTGTCCAGCACATTGTGAAGATCGCCGAAAGCGCGGAGGTTTTGACGATGAGAGGAACGGCCTTCTTTGTTTTGGGTTTGATCTCGCGCAGTCGACATGGACTTAGGGTCCTGAGAGATTTCGGATGGGATTCTGCTCTCGACCACAAGGGAAACTCTTTGGGGCTGAGTTTGCCGACCGACTTCAACAAGCTCTTCTTGGTATGTCTCCAATAGCCAGTACCAGTGCGCAAGCCATTAACAATCTTACTTCACAGGTTGATTTCCCGAGCCATTCCCGAAACCCTGACTCGAAGCGCACGTCCCAGGAGAAATTTAAAGAAGCCGCCATGGACACGGATCCCACCAACCAGAAGATCTTAAAGTTGATAGTCGATATGGGCAATACCGTGCTATCCAAGCGGGCTGCAGCAGACCTCCACAAGTAAGGAACACACCTTGTCTAGTAATAATCCGACTAAAGCTAACATAACCCGAATCTACAGTCTCAAATCGAAACAGCCCGATTGTTTCCATCAGCCTCACCTTTTCCGCAAGACCCTCAGTATCCTCGAAAGCCACCACTTCCGACTGCCTGCACGCCGCTTTGCCTTGGACTTGTTTGACAAGAGTGTCATGCGGCGTATAGTGTTGGAAGACGAGTCTGATTCAGACTCGGAGGCATCATCTTCTCAAGTATCAAGCTAGATGGGCACGCCGAGTCTTTCGCTTGTTCGAACAATCTTCCTTTTAACGAACTATCATGCGCCAAGCTAGATCCACAAGCAAGCATCCGATGACCTCACGTTGGGAAATCTTTTTTCTTAGCCACACCCCCCATTTCTTTCTGTCTTCCTGGCTATGGCGTTGGATGGTTCCGGTCATGAGCAACGAAAGGATGTTAGCATATCATGTTGTTCTGCTCTATTCTACCCTTGGTTTCCGGCTCTTTTTGTTTAGCCGTTGATCCGATACCTTTTGTCTGTGTTTCTTCTTTATCCACCATGCTTGCATCAAATCGAGAGTTTTGCTTTCACGGGGTTTGTGGGATTTTTTTATGCATCGGTGATCATCATCAATTCAATCATCTTATGAGTGCCCTCCGTCTCGTTCGTGGGTAACATTGTACTGTATATACTTAAAGATTACCATTCACCTTTTTTCTTCAAGTCCAATATACTAGAAATTTCATCAAACCAATAGGTCTGATATCTTAGCTACTCCGTAAGAAAAGATGTCTTGGCCACCAGCCATGACATCGAAGGCGCGAGTGTCCCCGAACCTCGGATGACGGCCGGATGGAGAGAGCTCCGGAGACCAACTAGCCTAGCTCGTCTCCACCCGTCAATCACTGTAAGTAAGCCCAACAAAACATCAATCAATCAATCAATCTAAGCGCCGACCGACCGACCGACCGACCCTGGACTAGATCTCTACCTCTTTCCTTTATATTCAACTTCTCCTCCTCTCCGATCTCCCCATTCCTCTACATATCGGAACCTCCATGGAAGATGCCACCATGCCCAGCCCTCCACCACCACCCTCTCCGCATCCCAGCAATGCAACAGCAGCAGCAGCAGCAGCAGCAGACGAACAAAACGGCGATGATCACCACCACACGCTGAACAACAACAGCTCACGCGACCCGCTCCTTTCCCCATTAACCTCCGCACATTCCATCATCCGGCTTATCCAATGCCCGCGCTGCTCGTTACCGCTCCGAACCCCACTGCGCCTGCCCTGCGGAAACACGATCTGCAAGTCATGTTTACCGCCCATTCGGCCACGGACGGGGATTACTTATCCGGCGGATGAGGAGCGGAAACAGGGGTTTACGTGCTATTGGGGAGATGGTGCGACGGGCTGCTCCGGGGAACATTGTCTGGGGGATTGCGGGACGGATGTTTTGTTGGGGAGGGTGGTGGATGTGTTTGAGGAGGTGTTGGGGAAGGGGGGTGATGATGGTGATGATGTTGGTGCTGGTGCGAGGCTGTTTGATGTGAAGTGGGAGAGGAAGAGGTTGAGGAGTGAGGATGAGGCGAAAGGGACGGAGACAGAGACAGACACAGGGACAGAAATATGTGTTGCTAGGATTGGGTGTGGGGATTTGCTTGGGGGTGTGTATGGACTGGTTAAGCAGGGTCGGGTTGGGTTTGGGGATGTGCTGGAGGTGGAAGGTGATAGTACATTCGAGGAGGGAGAAGGGCAACAACTATCCTACGAGAGATTGAAGGAGGCTGTCCGGGGCGAATTGGACTGTCAGGTCTGCTACTCGCTTATATTGGATCCGTTGACGACTTCTTGTGGACATACGTTTTGTCGCGGTTGTGTGGCTATGGTTTTGAATCATAGTGATTTGTGTCCGCTGTGTCGGCGCAAATTGAATATGGCTTCGACGGTGCGGGCTGAGCCTGTTAATAGGAGGATTTCGGACTTGGTGGAAGCTTTGTTCCTTGAGCAGGTTGTGTCGCGTCGCGAGGGGTCTTCTAGTGAGGATGGAGTGGCCGCTACTGGGGATGGAGAGCGGACTATTCCCCTGTTCGTGAGCTCGCTTTCGTTCCCGACTATGCCGACTTTCTTGCATATATTTGAACCGCGGTACCGGACTATGATTCATAGGGTCATGCAGACGAGGGATAAGAAATTTGGTATGGTTATGTATAATCGCTCCGGTCGGCTGCAGGAAGGTTTGGGCAGGGCCCAATTCATGCAGTATGGTACGGTGCTGGTAGTGGAACGGTTTGAACTACTCCCCGATGGGAGAAGTTTGGTGATCGCGTCGGGGGTGTCGCGCTTCAAAGTGATGAGCTTTGAGATGGTGGATGGATACCATGTTGGCAGGATACAGCGCGTGGATGATATTGCGATATCTGAGGAGGAAAGGCTGGAGTCTTTGGAGACGTCATCAGGGACAGTGGAATCGCTATCGGCAGCGTCAACACCACCGGAGTCTCTGCCCACGCAGCAGCTTTTTCAGATCGCCTTGGATTTTATCGACAAAAGCCGTCGTGAAGGAGCAGCATGGCTCCATCCGCGAGTCTTGCTAGCATATGGCGAGGCGCCTACCGATCCGGCTGTGTTTCCCTGGTGGTTCGCCTGCGTTCTGCCTCTTTGGGAAGATGAGAAGTACAAGCTTCTAGCGACGACCAGTGTCCGGGATAGACTGAAGATGGTCGTGCGGTGGGTGAGGAAGTCAGAGTCTCGAGAGTGGTAGGTAGATGATCGGCCCCTTCATCAGGGCTTTGCTTTCATATCCTTCCTGGCTGGCGCTCACATTTTCTCTTGACAAGGTTGGCTCGGCCCCGACCATCATTCGCCTCGGTCTTATGACTAGCCGTCCCTCTCCTCGTCTTCTCCCTCGTGCCCATGGTTCTGAGCCCAGCTTTGACATACCTGGCCCCGTCTGCGGGAGTCTTTACGTCGTTCACGCCATTTTCCATGTCCGTCTCCATCTCGTTTGGGTCTCCTCGTCCAGTTGATCCTGATCGCCGGCAGCGGGTGCAGAGTCAGGATTCAGGAGGAAGCTATATCCCACAGACTCTCGTTATGGGGATATTCTTGGCTATCTTTGCGACGCAAATGGCGATTAATGTTGTCCAAATTCGGCGAGCCAGACGGCGAGAACCACGCTGATAGATATGAACAACGGAAGACGAGAAAGATGCAAGACGAGGAAGAGGGACGTCACTCATCCACGCCAAGTACGGCTATTCCTTGGAGTATCCAAGGCGTTGATAGTACGCGTTAGCGTTTACTGGTCCCTGTACTAGTTGGCGCCCGGCTTAAGACTGCGGCAGCCCCAAATCCTCCTCCAGAACGAGGAGTATAAGTATATTCTGCCCCAGCTGGTGAATGGTTGCCGCAGGGACACACTAATTTCGGAAGCTACCCATCGCATCGTATAGATGGGCTTAACGCCCATCTTTTAGCATCCGGTGCGACTCCATGCAGGCATGGTGTTCTTTCTCTGTTTCTTATTTTTTCTTTTTCTCCTATAATCGACCGATGACAGAGTCGACGGGAACTTACAGCTTTCTGCAGATAGAGGGGTAAATAGGAGGGATTGGAAGGTTTCAGGCAACTAACAATTTGGGAATCCCTGCATGTACGTCAAACGAGCACATTGGTGGTGGAAGTGGAAGAACGAACCCGTAGCTATCTATGCATAAAGTAGGAGCAAAATTGCGCCTTGCGTGCGTACCGCAGATGGTGGAGAACGGCTAATGGCGACGCCTGATAAGAGAACAATGTTGCCTAACTGGCAGGGGTAGAGAGCCTCTGAGCCAGTATCCAAGCCGTGACTTGTCCACCACAATGCAGTGTCGCTGCGCCCGTTTGCCGCTGAGCTGCGCTGGTTGGTGGTTGGTCGCACAAGCGCTGCACTTGGGATTTGCGACGCCAAAACCACCCAAAAACGTTGCAAGATGGCGAAGGAACAGATGCAGCTCATGCAATCCTAATCGCCCTTTCCCATGGCGTGCCTCGTCGCTTGCCTGTTCGGGCGCCATTGAAGTCTGGTTCGCCATGCTGGTCCTGATGCGTTGGCTTGCCAGCTCCCCCGGTCGTTTCCCTTCCTTCTCTTCCTCGTCGCCTTTCTTTCTCCATCTGCAATTGATCCGCTATTGCATCTTATCTGCAGTCATCTTCTTTATCACTTTGAAATCTCTCCCTACGTGTGGAGCGCCCACGGTGAGTGTATCCAGACTGTATCTATGATGTACTATTTTCGTCAGCAAAGTGAAAGGTGAAGCGCGGAGAGAGAATATCAGAGATTTCAAACCAAGACCCTTGTAGAGAAGAAAGAGAAAGAAAAGAGGAGAATGAGTAAAGAGGGAAGAAGAAAAGTGTCGGGTGATCCATCGTTCTTGCAAAGTTGATGTGGAGCGACTGTGGATTGGAGATATCAACTTGCCTATTTCTCCTCTTCACGCCTCTAGTACTTCTCTACTCTTCGTTCCTTCAACCATCTCTTGCGCTGGTCTTAGCTTCTCTTTTGCATCTTCCAGGTGAAGACTGCTCAGGCTAACAGCTTCCCTCTAGTATCATCTCAATGTCTACTTCTTCAGGTAAGCTTGGCTTCATTTGCAGTTGTCAAGCTGCTGGCGGATTGCCTGATCTTCACTAAAATCACCCCACACCCAGATTCTCGTACTATGGCCTCGTCGACCTCATTCACGAGCCATTCCAAAAGCTATATGCCTCGAAGGTGAGTGCCCTCAGTGTTCTAGTTGCTTTGTCGTCTACAGATCCATACGCGGGTTCCATTATATACTCACCGAGATACTATGTACTATGTACTCGTCCGACTGACTGATTTCTAAACAGACCATATGCTGTGAGTCCCTTCAACTGCTCGCTTAGAATTTCATCAATGCGAGCTATTCTGACGATTTCACCATGATACAGCAACTTCCGAGCTATAGAAGTACCCCGTCAAACGCAGAAACCGTCACCATCCCCCGCTCGGAATATGATCGTCTGGTGAGTACAATGTGACAGGTCCAAAATGGCCCCTCACTGACCGGTGACCCTTCGCAGCTCCAAGATTCGCAACATTTTGGTATGCGACCGCCTCTCATATACCTAATATCTATCTCTGCAGCTGACATTAATACTCCAGCTAAATTAAGAACCTCACTCCTCAATGGAGGGTTGTCCCAGGCAACTCTTGATGTCAGGACACGCCCACTGAGTGGCGTACATTTACTAACCTGTATAGGTCTTAATTTACGGGGCTGCTCAGCAGCCTCCTCACCAAACTGGCCGCGAAAATAGCCCTCAGAGCCCAGCGAAATCGAATGCGGCGTTCGAGAACAAGGCTCCTGGCTGCCATGAGCACTTAGACGTGAAAGTTCATGACCCTGAAGAATTCGACATTGGTGAAGATGAGGACGAAGACGAAGACGCTCTCCTGGATTCTCATGACAGCGAAGACAAGGATGACTATGATGAGTCTTCCAGAAGTGCAGGATCTTCTCCTACTCCAAGCGCCCAACGTACCGTGCTAATTCGGAATCTTCCCGACCGTATCACGCACAGAGACATCGTCGCAGCCATAAAGGGCGGGGCCCTACTGCACATCTATTTACGTGCGCGGGAACACATGGCCAGTGTGTCTTTTGTCGAGGAAGCGGCCGCTCGTGAATTCTTCCGGACTGCGAAGACCTACGGTCTCATTGTTGCTGGGAAGCGCGTAAGTGCCCAATTCGGCAAACGGTAGCACCGCTAATAGGTACTATAGGTGGAAGTGGGTTGGAATGACAGACAATTCTACCTTCCTCCCTATGTCCGGGCCAAAATTGACAATGGTGCATCGCGCAATCTAGTCGTTAACAATGTACAGCCGAACGTCACGGAGTGGGTCATCCGGAAGGATCTGGACCATATCCACAACCTAATCGTGATCTCGGTACAGTTCAAGAATGGCAATGCCTACATCTCCACTAATTCAGTGCATAATGCGCTCTTTGCACGCTCCTGCATGATGTCTCGGTTCACGTACAAGGGCATGAAAATTGGGTTCTATCCGGACGAGTGTTTCGGTACCCCGGGGAAGTACCCCAAGAAAGAGCCACAAGCACCGGCAAAGAAAACCGGCTCCGTGCCCAATCGGTTTCAACTTCTATCCCTGGATGGCGCCGATGATGAGGACGACCATACCAGTCATGACGGACTGGGAAGGATGAACAATGGAATGCGATGGGCTGATAATAGCGTTACCGCCTGAGTTGTCATCTCTCCTCTCATTTTTCCCTTGAACTTTCTTTGAAGTGTTGTGCTACCAAATAGTCGAGCAGCACGTTACCTTTAGGCGAGACTAATCATCAAATCTGGGGGAACTGGTACTAGTAGGGTAGTACGTTGCGTGGAAGGGATCTGGCTGAACGGAACGGATTGAGCGATCAGGCTGGACGGAGGAATATGACGGATAGGCGACAGCGAGTGGGGTGAGAATGAAACGGGATGGCGGGTGATCTACGAGAGGGATGGTCAGACTGATTGCCAGATGCTATTACTTACCATAGCCGCGTATATCAGTCATCTACAACGGTTCATCCGTTATGAGAACGTGCGTTGTATTAGCATACAAACGCACGGACGTCCAATACAACCTTATAATGACAGGGCTGACGACAAAAAAAGAAATTGGGTGATATTTAAGATAGTCCAGGCTTATACTAAATAACAGCCTAAGACCGGGGCCAGCATTGCACCATAATTTCCAAACACAGCCACTGTAAACAACCCAAACCATCCTCTTTATTTGATTGAATTGTCTGCAGTGGTGGAATGGGACCACCACACCAGATCTCTCTCTTCTTCTCTCCCTCACCCCAATAAGTACAACCGTTAAAACGACAAACAGCAACAACAACACCATCCCGCATGATATCCCGTTTTCTGCCTCACACAAAAAAACCCTTCATAACCCGGCCATAATCATAAGAGGGGAAACGTTATAGGAAAACTTTTTTTAAAACCGATCCGAGCCAAGCAAGCAAAAACTCGAACCGTAAAAGGTGGGGGGAAACATAACAGCCGGGAAATGTAAGGTTTGTCCCCCAATTCCATGGTTTAAATTCCTTTCTTTCGAAAACGGAAGGGAACGGGAAACAAAAAGGAATGAGAACAAAAAAACAGGCAGAGGCGGAGCAAGCTTGTATGTGTGTATATTGTTGATGTAATAATGAAGCCGTTTAACGGTAGGACTTCTGGTAGCGAGCGCGGGCACCACGACCACCGAACTTCTTGGGCTCCGTACGACGGTTGTCGGCGACGAGGAGTGTGCGGTCGTACTGGACAAGAGCCTGCTTCAGCTGGTTCTTGGAGTGCTCATCGACGTACTTCTGGTAGTAGGCGACGATGGACTTGGCGATGGCCTGACGGATGGCGTAAACCTGGGAGGTGTGACCACCACCGGAGACGCGGACACGGATGTCGACACCGGCGAACTTGTCGGCTCCAACGATCAGGAGGGGCTCGTAGACCTATTCCAATTTCGCGTGTTAATTCGATCCGCCATTGCCACTTCGTAGAAGAAATCCCGACAGGTGAGTATGTACCTTGAAGCGGAGGATCTCAGGCTGGACCAGAGAGAGGGGCTGGCCGTTGACCCGGATCATGCCCTTGCCTTGCTGTAGTTGGAAGAAACGAATCAGTTTTGACGCTCTTCTTCTTCTTTCTGTCGCGGATTTGGTTCATCTGATATATTGCGATGCGGATGCAGATGTGTCGTTCGAGTTTGGTTGCGCATGTCCTTCTTCCTTTTTTTCCCTTTAGGTATTTCGTCTTCCTTCAAATTTGCATATTGGTGTCGTTCATATAGTTTCGATATCGCATCCCTCGTGTTCCCATGCACTCCTCAAGATTCATATATCCTTAACCCTTGATTGTCGAATAGATACCCAAGCTTCCTTCAACCTTCCATACCCAAATATTGACCAATATCGAACGACACATCGGCATCCGCAAACACGATAAATCCTAGACCAGCAGGAAGGTAACAGATAGATAGACAGAGAACGTTATTCTCATACCTTGCAGTGGGCGACAGCGGTGGCTAAAAAAAATCACATCAACCGTTAGCATCCCATGCTACCTTCAGATCATCCAACATCCCGAAACCCTCCCCCAATCTTCAAATCCACCCATTCCATTTATATATCAAAAACAAGAGGAAAACTCACCCGTCTTCTTCTTGCCGAAGCATTGCACACTCGGGACGGAAGCCATGATGGGGAGGCGGCGAAGTGTGCTGGGTGGTGGGAAGTAAGGTAGACGGTGTCGGGGTCGTGGAGTATTTGTCGTCGATTAACGGAGTCGCGCTGTATTAATTTTCGCTTCGCACAGTCAGGCGGTGCGATTTCTTCTTTGGGGCTTGTGGTTTTGCTGACTGTCCAATTCTTGGTCTCTCGCTTAGTGCGCTGCGCTAGGCCGCTTTGGGACCTTGAGGTAGGGCTTGTCGGGGAGCCTGGCTTTCTGTCACGTGATGAGGGAAAGTTCGGACTCCGGGATAGAGACCAGTGCCCAGGTTGTTGTAGGGTATAGATTGAAGTAAGAGGCATATAGCTATAGCTATTCGTTTTACGTCAAGATGTCGCAGACTGTTGGAAAGGTATATCCATTATTCTGTTTCCCCACAACTTCCTCTAATACATAATACTGCTCTCTTCCTCCCTTACTTTCTCTATATCTGTCTGTTTATATGCTCAATATCTAACTTCGATATCAATCATGATATAGACCCGTCTCGCCTTCTCCCGAACATGGCACTACGTCGACGTCGGCAGTGACCCTCGCAGTCTGGGTAGACTCGCCTCCTCCATTGCCCTCACCCTTATGGGCAAGAACAAGCCCGTCTACGACCCTTCCACCGACTGCGGTGATTATGTCGTCGCCGTCGGATGCCACGACCTCCGCGTCACCGGCAAGAAGCGCTTCCAGAAGAAGTACTACACTCACAACACCCGTCCCGGTAGTCTGCGGAGCATGACTATGGACAAGATGTTTGAGAAATGGGGCGGTGGTGAGGTGCTTCGTCGTGCTGTTCGCGGCATGTTGCCCAAGAACCGCTTGCGGGATAAGCGCTTGGCTAGGCTGAAGAGTGAGTATACCTCTGATATCGATATCAATTGGATATATCTATGTCGTCTCTACTTTGGGGCTAGACTGGTATATCGTATGTCTTTTGAGGATGTATGCTAATGGTATTTGTGTATAGCTTTCGAAGGTCTCGCCCACCCCTACAAGGAGAACATCGTCAAGCTTAACGGACAGTCGGTCATCGGAAACTTGCCCGAGGTGAAGGAGGCGTTTAAGACGGCCAAGACCGATGCGTAATTGCATTGTAATGTCTGCGCATCTTGTCGACTTGCTGGATCGGATACCATTTTACCATTTAAACCTCTTGTACTTTTACATATGTCATTGATATTGCTGTTGTCATGTTATGACTTGCTAGCGCATGGGTGGGAGTTCTGTGATACTATTCGATTTTTTTCTTTTATGTGACATATCTTGTTTATATTACTACTAGCTACGCTACACAATTACAACAGCTTCGTGGCATCTCTATGGGAGTCCATGGACAGATGATGTATCGGAACATGTGAATGATGCTATTTATCCCTAACCTATATACAAGTGCCAGAACTCCATCTCATAACTGCTAATGCAATACTACAAATCATCCTACAGCTTCGCCTTCGTGTTGCGACCAACCGTGCACTTGATCAGCCCGTTCGGGTTGGTCTGCGGCGCATACACCTCGGCGTCCTTGCCGGTGTTCTTCAGGCCCTTGTGCCAGCTCAAATCTGTGACGAACAATGATTAGCCGGGTTTCAAGACGAACGAATCTATCAAAAAAGATGAGATACATACCAACTTCGAAGTAGTGCTTGTTGGGCAGAGAGTACTCGACCGTCTCAAGCAAGGGCTGACGAGCCAGGATCTGCTCCGCCATCTTGTACATAGTGTTCTGGACACTGGCCGAATTGTCCTCGGCAAAGGTCTTAAGGGTGATATCTCTGGCCGCCGACCAGGTCGCATCGAACTGGGGCACAGTAGCGCGCACCTCGTCCAGCCCGTTGAAACGGCGCCACTGCCAGCTGGCGTCGACGTCGGTGCTGAGAATACGGTCCCATGTCTCAGGGAGCGTAGTGTACTCGTCACGCAGGAAGCCCCAGAACTGCGAGTTGGTGCTCTTCAGCACGGTCAACTTGGCCAGAGACGAAGTGATGTCCACGCCCTTGCCCTCGACGACATCGACCTGCACGTTGCGGGTTTCCTCGCCATCCCGGAGGAAGGAGTGCGGGTGCGGCTTGCCGTCGATGGTCATACGGGTCCAACGGTGGGTGATGATGTTGACATGGGCGGCGTGGATGTGGTTGTACTTGGTGATGAAGTGGGTTCCAAGGATGGAGCCAAAGAGCTCGGGGGGAGTGACGGGGTTTTGCTTGGCGGTGATGTAGATGGTGTTCTTGATGGAGTCGGTTGCGACAATCACGCTGTTGTCGGCCTTGGTGTAGCTGTAGGAAATGAGGGTTAGCTCTGATTTCGATTTGAAAGAGGAAAATACATACGAGGTATCGATGTCACCCTCCAAAAGGACGCAGACGGTCATCTCCACGACCGTCTGGACGCCGGTCTTCTCATCGCGGTGGACCTTGTATACTCGGACATTGTCCTTGCCGTAGCGGGCCGCAGTGACTGGGGAAGACATGGTGGGTATGGGGTAGGGAGGAAAGGAAGATGAGCAACCAAAGAGGGGTATTGACAATAAACACAGAACTGGAAGTTTTAACTGCAACAACCCCTGTGACAGCAGGATGAAGCTTTTTAAGACTTCTCCGGAGCCAGGGAGCAGTCGGGATGGGGAGATGGCAGCGTATCGGCCACCTCCGAAGCCCGCGGGACTTGACGGCCGCAGCCTCCCTCGCTTTATCTTATCGCCCCGGGATTCGTAACCTTCGGGGTTATGCAAACATCAGGCAATCCCGGCTGTGGTTGCCGGGGATTTGTTTGGCTAGAATGAATGAATGTAATGTAACCAAAGTGATTGATTGGGATGGATTCATCGGTCTGCCGTCAGCGGTTACATGAAAGAGCAAGAATGACAGCCAGACTACCAAGAAACCCTACAAAAATGTAGAGGAAGTGTCGGACATGTGACTGCCCAGACGTCATCCACTCGAAAGAATCTCGCGACTCAACAAAGAATGAATCCCCAGACTCAAGATGGTGTCTGCCATCATTGCAAGAAATGTCGGGATCTGCTGAGTTTCTCAATCTAGCATATCCCGTTTCGACCCTCGACTGACCTTCAATTGCTCTGCTACGGACCTGTCCGATACCGCGGGCTCGGCCTATTGTCCAACGGTTCAGCAATGAGAGCTATTCGGCTCAGTCGTGCTGAGACCAGGACATCAAGTCGACGATCCTGAGAATATCATGTGGTTTACAAGTGAAGGCAGAGAGCGCCCGCCATGGCTTCTCAAGTACCGTTCCTCCACAGCCTTCATCATCGCGACAGTCTGGACCTCTTCGTTTACGGTATGCAGATGTCCTACACCAGAGACACAATAGCTGACGCCGGCAGGACTACTTCCTCTATGCCATGGTGAGCATCATCCATACTCACATCTATATCGCCAGTTAACTCTCCAGATCGTCCCCGTCATGCCAACAGCCTTAGTCGACCGCGCGAAAATACCCTATGAAGACCGTACGTCCACCACCACCACCACCACAACCACCCTTCTCTATACCATCTGATACAAAACCAGGCGAACGCTGGGTCAGCATTCTCCTCATCTGCGAAGCCACCGTTGCATTCATCTGCTGCCCGATCTTCGGATACTTGATCGATGTCGCACCCACGCGCAAACTCCCCTACCTTTTCGGCCTCATTCTGCTCGGCGCATCTATGCTCATCCTCTGTCTCGCACGCACCATCGGCTTCTTCGTCATCGCACGCCTCCTACAAGGCAGCGCCACCGCAATGGTCGTCGTCGCTGGACTCGCCCTCCTCACCGACTCCGTCCCGTTCGAGAACCTCGGCCAGACTGTCGGATACCTAGGGTCAGCGGTTACCCTAGGGTTCCTATTAGGGCCGTTACTGGGGGGTCTGGTGTATAGAGTAGCAGGGTATCAGCCGGTATTCGCCATGGCGTTTGCCATTGTAGGATTAGACCTGGTGATGCGGTTTGCAGTGATCGAAAAGAGGGTCGCGAAGCGGTGGATGGCTTTATCGCAAGATGATGACGCCGACGATGAAGAAACCAACAACCACGACAGTCCCTCTGAATCAAGCACACCTCAACCTGAAACCACAGACAACGAAGCAACCATCATACCCAAACATTCCCGCAAACCCACCCTCCTACTCCTAATCCAACAGCCCCGCATCCTCATATCATCCTGGGGTCTCCTCGTCCACGGCATGATATACGCAGCCTTTGACGCCGTACGTCCTTCCCTACCTTCCCCCCAACCTCCAATCTACCATAAACTAACAACCCACCCACCCACTAAATAACAGACAATCCCCATCTTCGTCGAATCCCACTTCAACTGGACGCCCCTAGGCGCGGGCCTAACCTTCCTCCCCTCATCCATGACCGCTCTCTTCGAGCCCTACTTCGGTACACCCCCCTCCTCCTTCAAATACACCTAGTTCAACCCAACTAATAGAAAATCTTCAGGAAAAATAACCGACACCATAACCCCACACCCCATCGCAACAACGACCTTCCTCCTCCTCCCCATCCCACTCAGCATGCTCGCGCTCTCCACCAACCCCACAAGCACCCACATCACCCTCCTAATGATAAACCTCACCTTGACCGGCCTCCTCGTCAACATCGCCACCCCCGCCCTGTACCTTGAAACCCAGCGTGTATTGGATACCATGGAGCGCCGACAGCCCGGGATTTTTGGGCCCAGGGGTGCAGTCGCCCAGGCGTTTGGGATTCAGACGATGGCGCAGTTCTTAGGACTGAGTTTGGGGCCGTTGGCTGGGTTCGTGGAGGGGAGGTTTGGGTGGGGGGTTGTGGTTGTGGGGTTAGGCGTGGTTTGTGCAGTGACGGGGGTGGTGGTGGGGGTTGGGTTGAGGGGGGATGCTTGTTGTGGTGGTAGGTTTGGGGATGGGGATGGGGATGGGGATGGTGGGGAGAGGGAGAGGTTGCTTGCTGGGGATGTGATTGAGTAGGTAGGTAAGGTAGGTAGGTGAAGTAGTGACTAGAATGATAGATTGAATTGGAATTTGTAATTTCGAGAATGAGTGTAAAACTGGAAGTTTGCTTTTAAGAGTAGAACCTAATTAACTAGGTCGGTCATAAGCTGATTGATACATTCGTATTTCAGATCAGATCTAACATCCATCCATTCCATCCCTCCATCCATCTTCTCTCAAATCATACCAACTGCACCTTTTATCGAAAGAGATAAGACGACCATCACACAGCACAAGGATTGTCTTCATGTACAGTTCAAACTCAATCCAGATACACACCGGTGTGGATGTAGCGTAGCAGAGCATAGCGTAGCATAGTGGAGCGGGGAAAGAAAGAATCCATATCAACACCAGAATGGAATGGATCAATCATATAATAAGAGAATCGAAAACCCGAAGAAAGTTAGAAGCGGTACGTTTTTTGTCTGCATTCCATTCACTGGAAGGGGGAAAAGAGAAAGGAAAGAGAGGAAGAAATTATAACGCCATCCAATGCCCTACTTGGACGCCAATAACCCCTAATCATAGAGGGTTAAATTGTAATAAGAGAAAGGAAAGAAACTCCACCATAACGCTTATATCCCCAAACACCATGAATCAGTAAATAAATCAATCAATCAATCACAGACTTAGCTGATCAATGCTTCCCACTCTACCGCTCCCACCGAGCCGACCTCCGCCCTTCGTCACCATCCCTAAACGGTAGAACCGCTCCTCCCCGCCAGGCGTTCGACCTCCGATATACCACTTCTCCGGACCCAGCGCATCGCGGAACCCTCCCGAGCCACTGGAGCTGTCGCTACCGCGACGCTGGCGGCCTTGGCTGTTTGTGATCGGGATGGGGTTTGACGCGGCCGGGGTGGGTGGAGAAGAAGCGACCTGCTGGGTCTGAGGTGGGGCCGGGGATGCTGGGGAAGATTCGGGCTGGTTCAATGGAGATCGCTGGTGCGAGTGAGGACGGGAGTGGGAGGAGGATGAAGCGCTTGTGGTGGAATGATGGTGGTAATGATGAGTGGTGGTGGATGGAGAGGCATCTGATGAGGAAGCGGCGGTGTTGCCGCTGCTGGCCTTGGTGGCTATGGCTCGTGCGCCTTGGGAGATTTGGGTGGAGGAGAGAGAGGAGGATGGGCCAGCGGTCGCGGATTGTGAACCTGCTGCTGAGGCTTTGTATGTGGACTGGGCGCGAAAGGCCGCTAGAAAGTTGGCCAGGAATGGCCGGTTGGTGGACATGGTGGCGAGGGGGGGAGCCACGGTGATAAGATGGAGATGGAGGGAGTAGATTTGGACTGACAGGGGTACGCTAGTCGGATAGGACTAGGGCCTGTAGTCGGTCGCAGGTGTGTTTGCTAATCTTGGTGTAGGAAGTATGGATTGCTGGTTGTGAGAAGTGGTGAGGTGAGGGGATTGTGCGTCTTGTATATAGAGTTAGTGTCGGTGGTCGTCGGTCGAGATCGGGGCGATAGTAGCCGCGGAGTTGCGGAGTAGACGAGATCTAGACGGGGGTCTGAGAGGAGAGTGTGGATGGAGGAGAGCGACTGAGTACAAGAGTACACGAGTACACGAGCACAGACAGGGCAAGAAGGAGACTGCAGGAGGGGACGGACGATCGGAGCCAGAAGGATGGAGGAGGAGGTGGTGGACGATGACGAGAGAAACGGTGGAGGACGAGATTCAGAAGTTGAAACTGGAGGACCTCCGGGGAGTCCCGTGGGCGGCGGCCAATCAGCGGGGGTGGATATCAATCCGGGGGAGCCCCTCGGCGGTGACGTCTATTAATTACTATCATTTAGTTAATTATATCTACTGGTAGGATTAGGAGGGAATGAAATAATCACTCATCACTTGGAATGTGAACTAAGCAGTGTATCTCTTACCTAGTTGTTGAATACGTACACCATGTCTTTTTCTCTCTCTATCAATCTATCCCCCACTCTCTCTCTTTTTCCCGCAAGTAAAATATCGGCCTACTACACTTGGGCACATGCGAAACCAAAAAAACAAGAATCACATCACCTGCAACAAGAGTACCCGATCGCACTAACCATCCAGCGCTCACCGTAGGGAAATCCCGGGATCTTCTCCAGACATCTCCGCCCCGGACCAAAGGTTGGCTTGTTCGGTCGGGAAAGTCAAGTTCTAGGCAGTCACGGGGTGTTCACATGGCCTGTCCCCTTCCGATCCCGTGAGGCTCTCTCTTATTAGCTACTTAGTACAGAGCAACGTACTAAGGTAACTACTGTAGTAACTAGCTTACTTTGTAGGACTCTCCGCTATTTCTCTACTACACCCCCACCCAGTTTGATTGTAAGTCATGTAAATATGGCCCTTATTATTTCTCGTTCAACTCCGAATCACTGGCTGTCTATATTCTAGCTTTTGGATTCCCGTGGCTTCCCATAAGTGACGACTTCCACCAGGCCTGATGCAGGGGGGTTTCAATCGGCCTCCCTGGCCTCCAGACTCCAGGACCAGATACAAGAAGAAAATGCATGCGGCATCATGGATAGAACAAGTACATAACCGACGTATGGAACATCTGGGGGCTGACCAGGGGTGTGCATCCAGGCAGATCAACCAACCGCCGTCCGGAGTAACAAAAAAAGAATGAAACAAGCTCCAACACAGCAGGAGTGTCCCTGACTGCGGCCAGGATCTGCAGGCAACCCAGCCGCGAAAATGTAGGAAATCGGGCAGTCGAAAAGCACCATGCTACCTTTTTCGGTCACAAATGAAAGAGATGAAAAGAAACAGAATAAAGAATAAAGCATGAGACACGAAAGGAAACCGAAGCACACTGACACAAAAACACATTGGATAGGAACGCAGGAGGCATATGGTAAACACAAGACGACGCAACACCTTTCATCCTAGCTCGACCTCGTATGCCCTCCATCGGACACACAGTATGTACTTACATGGTCGACTGGAAGACAACATGCGGATAGGAAACGGCCGTGACGGTTATGCAAACAAATCCCGAACACACTCAACCCTCCGTGCAGCTCAAATTTAAACAGGAAAAGGGAACATGCAACGCGGAACGAAGAGTGGACGGAAGCCTTCCCCGCAAGAAATCTTTTGATGACTCGTTGAAGATGAGAGAGCCCTTGACGCAACAAAAATCAAACACATGCCCAAGTCTATGATTGGACGCCAGTTAAAAAACCACACACACCATCCCATCAACCCACTCATAATGGATGGAAACAAAACAAAACAGGTCCAGAATCACCGCAAATCTGCACTCGCCGTAGAAAATGCTCACAAGATTTTTCAAATAAACAATGGACGACCAGATAACCCAGTAGGACAAAAGAAGACGTTTTCATAACAATGAGTAATCCGGATGCTGTAATCTAGACCAACGCTGCGGCGCGCTGCGCGGAGTCGGTGGCCGAAACGAGCTTTTTTCTATCTGTATTTTTTTTCTTCCCTTCCATTTTCCGTCATATTTTTTTTCTTTTATAGGGATGACCCTCGATAATCATTCATGTCGCTTTCCAGGCTGGATTCATGCGCATGATCCAGGAGACTAATAAGGCGCCAAACCGCAAAGCATGTAAACCCTTGTATAAGAGCATCATCAGCTTGATCGGAGAAGCGTCCTCATAAATACTCCCAGACAAATGCCTAGCATTGCAAGACATCGCTAGACTGATGCATAACATCGTTTGACAACGTAACCCAGTTAGTAAGACAACTTTGTAACCGTTCGTTATGGCCGTAGTGCTCCGTCTCCCTTAACGTTATACACGTCAAGCTCAACGTGGTCAGCTCAAGACATCCACTTCCAAGTCACCACTATTGCCTAGCAGGCTGGACGGTACCTGGGATTCGGGGATTAGCATGCCGTCATTCATACGCAGGGGCAGGAATTGAGTTCCGGGACTCCTTCACTTACCGTCGCCACTCAACGTGGTCGAAGCCAGGTAGAGACCGTTCATCCCACCCTCCTGGGGACCAGCGGTGGTGGTGGGGTAAAACTTGCGTTCGGTATCGACGTGAGCGTGGATAGGCTCCTGGCCGGACGCCATGGTCTGGGGGAAGACGGGATTGATGTAACCGTCGGACGCTCCGGGCTGAAACATCGAAGTCCAGTCAATTTCGCCAGCGTGATTGGGAGGTCCAGGCATGACAGGACGTTTAGGGTCTTGAACAACCGGGGGCTTTACCTGCTCAATAGGAGGACGATCAACATTCAGCTGCTGGCCATTTGCGTCTGCGCCAGGCTGCACCATGTATGGGTTCTGCTTGGGAGCAGCAAGCCAAGGTCCACGCTGGTGAGGCTGTCCGCCGGGGAACGCGTCTTCGGGCTGACCGCGGTTCATCCCATTGACGGAAGGCATGGAGAATCCCAAAGGCTGCTGCTCCGGGAATCCGGGGCGACCGGGAGCCATGCCATTGCCGTTCACGGGCGCCTCGCCATACGTAGCACCCGGCATACCGTTGGGATGCGGGACGGTCGTATTGACTTCATCCTGAACGGGTTTAACGGCGTTTTGCGCAGCTTGAGACCGCTTCAAGTGTGCCTGAGGGTGCGACAGGTGAGTCGCCCCAGTAGGGTTACCGCGTCGCAACGAGCACTTCTGGAAGTGGCGCTTGAGAATATCACTGCGAGAGAAGGTATCCTTGCAGAGCACACACATGTACGGACGGTCTCCAGTGTCTACCGGTAAAAACATAGATTAGTCATCGGAACAATTCGATCCCCGCCATGCGCTATCATATCATTTAAATGGAAAGAGGGGCACTCACGTCTGAGCAAATGGCGCTTCAGATGCTTCGCATGAAGATAGGTCTTGTTACAGTGCGGACAAGGGAACTTTCCATCCGCATCCTTGGCCGGAATAGTAGTGTTCTTCGCGGTACCATTGACACCGTTCGTGACGGGAGTCGCGCGTCCCGGAACGCTCGGCAGAATTCCGCGGCGGCCCTGCGACCCAACAACCTGTGTCCTGGGTGGTTCCTTCGCAGCATACGGGGGAGCACCATTTGCACCTGCAACAGGGTCGGGGTTCATCCAAGGCGATCCCTTGTTATCGGAGTAGCTGAAGGCACCAGACGGAAGACCGGAGAAGTCCGAGCGACGATCACGCGGAGGCGCCGGCGCAATCGGCTGGGGATAGGTCTGCGCGCTGGACGCGGGAGGCAGCACGCTATGAGGCGGAGGGTAGGCTTGCGACGGCTGGGGTTGAGCCTGCGGATTGGGATGGGACAGGAACGACGAGGGAGGCAGACTACCCACGGTGGTGTGAGGCATGATAGGAGCCGCGGAAGACGCGTAGACATCGTGAGTAGATGCGGGATACCTCGACAGATCCGGCCGGTACGGCTGGCCCATGTAGGAGTGAGGGGCAGGGGATTGACTGTGATGAGGCTGCAGCGGGGGGAGAGTATGCGGCTGGGACACAGGGTATTGAGGCTGCATGGTGTACTGAGGCATGGGCATGCTCGAGATGGGTGTCGAGGACAAAGGCGTGGAGCCCTGGGGTAGGCTGGTGGATGGGGGCCGTGAAGGATGAGATCTGGGATCCATCTTGAACGCGGAGAGGCTTTCAAACACGGAAGGAGGGGAAGGAGGGAGGAGAAGAGAATTGGGGTAAGGAACTGGCGAAAGAAGATTTCACGATATCTCGATCATTGATCGCAGGGCGAGAAAACCTTTTCGTAGGATGTGTCTTGCGACCAAGGCAGTGCTCCGTGGATGCGAAAAGACTGCCAATGCCACCTTGTTCAAATCCTGATCGCGTTTCGCTCGCAAAATTCTCCAGTCCGGAGTTGTGTGCTCGCTTCTCTTCGATTGTGACTTCTGGTTCCTTTTTTTTTTCCTTTGCTTGTTCCGACAAATGAACAATCCTCCCACCTGATGCGGAGAATTGACGATGAGATTCGCGGAAGAGGTAGGTTCGATAAGCAAATCGACGCTCAAGGATCCTCAAGGTCGACGATAGACGTGCAGGATCAAGTCCGACTCCACTGCAGAAAAGAGGTCAGGAAAGAGGTCGAGATGCTTAATCTGAATTCCCCACGGTCACCCACCAGAAACTCGAGTTGTGTGGGAACTTCTCACTATCCGCACGTTGTCAAAACAGTCAATGGTTCTGATCCACCAGGGAGGCGGCGTGTAAGTGGGTCTAACACAATCAGCAGTGCTAGAGGGAAATTTCGCTAGCCAATTTTTGCTTCGCGTCAACAATGCGCGCGAAATTGACCAGGATGACTCTGATGGGAAGATCACAACTGCCAGGGACAACGCGTATAGATGCGGAGACAGGGCGAAGGAAGAGTGAAAAGTAAGGGGGGGAGGGTAGAACAAGAGGGCAAAAAAAGAAAACGAAAAAGAATGATAAAATAAAATAGAATAAAATAGAAAAAGCTTAGGAAATTTTGTTCCAAGAGGGAACACCCAAGGTAGCCGTCCCTAGGGTAGTCACGGGAATGGAGGGAGGAGGAGGGGGGGTGGAAGGGGGGGCGACGAACGGCGGCGGCGGCACAAAGTTAAGTGGGTGAAGGAGGGAAAAAAAAAATGTTAGGGGAAAAAAAAAAAAAAATATCGTCAGTATCGGAAGAGCGAAAACTGACACACTAACCTACTACTAAAGGCAAAGAAGGAAAAAAGTGGAAGAGGGAAAGAAATCACGACTAATTGAAGGTTAACTGGGGATTGGCGGTGACGATCGTAACTCTGGGAGGCGACAACCGTAAAGGATGAAGAGGAAAAAAAAATGTGAGTAAAAAAAAGAAAATATGGAAAAAAAAGGGAAAATGCTATTAAAAAAAAAATTATAACGGAAAATATTAGTTATTTTTATGATTTTATTAGCATCGTTTTCTACTCAGTCAGCACCCAACGTTTGGGACAGTTACTGGTTGCCGTTGACCTGATTCGTGCCTCGTCCGGTTTCCGAAACCCAGTCAAGAGCCGAACAAGGTCTGCATTTTCTCTGCAAACTAAACTATCCTACTTTTGTGTTTCCTCCTGGTCGCTTTACCTTTTGGGTACAACGATGTTGAAAACGTTAACCAAGATCTGCGTGCTTCGGTAGACTTCAGCAGTGCCTTTGGCACTGGGAATTCTAAACCACGAGAAGAGGAACGGTTCTGTAAACTTTCTGCCGCCCAAGAGACGGCAAGATCGGCTCAACAATCAGAGTCTTTTCCGAAATGTAGACACCGGAAGGGTAAGGAAAACCCTCAGCAGAGCACAAGTCGATTTTGGTTGGCACCAGCGGCAAGCAGGGGAAAATTGTTGAAGGCGCTATTTCGATCGACGATGCTGGTTGGCTAATTCGTCCATCGCATAATGTATTTTAATTATTCGGATTTCTTGGTCAGGCTTCCTCTGTGTCACAGATTGGTTTGGATGGGAGACACATCGGGCGTGTACCGAAAGACAGACCCCCGATGTACTCGATCGTATCCTCGCCGCGGACAGCCACGGGAAAGATACCTGGCAGGAACTTGTTGTTACCGGCCCTAAAGCCTACCAATCACATCGCACCTGACACTGCGCGGACGCAAGCGGAGAAACGCATGAACTGTTCTAGGCCAAGCGTCAAGCATAACGAAGAGTTAATTCTATTTTATTTGCCTACGTAGTCATGAGAATACTATGGTCGAGGAAGGAATATTCTGAACTATCTAGAACGGAGTCGGACAGTTCGATGTCCGCGTCTCGATCGTTACACCCATCGCAACGAAGACCGTAATTTTACGCCTGTTGGTTTTGAACACCCCCGGGAGAAGAAGGGCAAGGGCCGAACTTCAAGGCTCAAGAGGACTACCAAGGCACCAGACCGGGTGGAAGGATCAAAGAAAAGTAGCAGGTACTATGTAGATACAGCAGCAACATAGCAAATCAATTCTCCTGGTGATGAGGGGGTGGGAAGTCATGGAGGGGCGGGAGGTCTAAGACTGCATGCCCGCCGTAAGATTGAGCTTCCGACAAAGCGTAAAGCCGGAGCTTTGGTCTCGAAAGCTTAGTGAATCTCGTAAGAATCCCTGTAGTTACATACTTCATAGATGCATGCCTACCGCCAGAACAAAGCAGTAAGTAACGTCCCTGTTTTAGTACATACTCGAACTACTAGTTGGAATTAGTTAGTGGGCAGGCAGTGCTCCGTCCGGTCGCGTTCGACTGCCCTTTTGAGCTTGGACAAATCACCGAGGCATCATACTGGCCTGGGTGCAGCAGAGTATTCTCGACGAACTTTAGCATCTCTCATCGTTATGAAGACAGAAGGGGTCTTCTACTTTGTAGTATGCTTGATGTCATGAGGCGGATGGAGTTCTGCATCCCTTCTCCGCAGTTGACAGGCCCGCTTGCTCGATATTGGCTCCTTGGGGCGCTCAGTCCTCATGGCACATCCACAATCCCACATGAGTTAGGTAGGGGCAGGAAACCTTATCAACGCGATATCTTTGTTCGAAGTGGAGTGGCATCCTGGCTTGGACCTGAGCTTCACGGCTGGGAACAATGGTAGAGTTGCCCACTCTACTCCACGGCTGTCAATCTCGATTTTAGAAGTATATACTCCATCAATACTCCATAATGTGTGACATCCGATGGGGATCCTTATGGGGCCTTCCATCCTGCACTTCCCCATCACCGGTATTTATATCAACTGCGGCTTGTCCGCAGCAGTCAGGTACATTTCTTCTTAGAGTTGATAGTGGTTCACAATTTAAATGTCTCTTGCCGCGGGCTACAAGTCCCATGCAGTCATAGCACTATGCTACCCATTGCTTTGTATCTTTGTCTATTAATCACTTCCTACGGTCTCTATTCAGAAGTGACAGGAGTTAGTCTAACGGTGGTGTCACAAGCAACGACTCAACGGCTGAGCCTGCATCTATTACTCATATCATGCGCTCGGTTTACTTTTGCGAACTAGGTATTATTTCGGTTTCGGACTTGCGTAAGCTGTGCTGGACGGGCTCTCGAAGCAGGGTATGTGAGTGTGTGTGCCTCCTGAGACATCCTGAGATTACAGGTTCGGCGTTCAAATCACTCAGGCTACCCTCCAAGTCTCCTGGCAATGAAAATCCCACGCCTAAGGACAAGTGATGTTCAGCGCAAAGACACACACCACCGACAGGGCTCCGACCATTGATTGAACGCCTCAGGTATATACCGGCTGCATGGAGCTTCTAGACTGCAGGCCGCAAGCGTGGTACTTTTGCGTTTCGGGGAGTGGCAGGAAATCCGGCCAATTGGCAAGTCGAGGAGGCCACGCACCTTGTTCCATCCATGCCAGTGTGCCACCCCTAACAGCTTGATTACGCCTTGGAAATTGTGATTTCGGAGGGCCGAGTAATACCACATTTTCCAGGCGTAACCCGTGGTTCGGCGCTGCGTATCCTTGCCACTTCCGACCGGAGGTATGATGGATCATAATCAACTCATTCCTGCAATCGCTGCTGGCGTTCAATCTCGAGTTCCGGAAGGGGACACCAGAGCAGCAAACAGGACGATTCAGTTTCTATGGCTGTTAATCTACAAAATCATTCCTCAGATCAACGATTCTTCATCATGATGGGTCCCTCTTTTAGACTTCAAGACTGCGGCTGTTCTCCACCAGGAGATTTTCGCTGGGAGCTTCTCCCGCTTCGATTGTGGACCTTGACCTCTGGTTTAGGCGGGCGAGTGGAATCGCTGCACTTGCTTCTCCGTATTATATCCGGAGCTATCTGATCTGACCACCCGGCAGGGGTCACACAGCATGCAGCGATTCATAAACTCAGAAGAGGCTTACTGCAGTACGCAGTCCAGTATGGAGTCGTACTGTGAGAAGCGAAATTGGCAATGCATGGCGGATTTGCGCGGAGGAGAGTTCCGTCAGCTTGCAAATGCGGAAGCCTATTTTGCCTTCTTTCTTTCCCAAGAGGAATAACATTAACCACATTCGGATGAGGCCTCGCGCTCGTGGCCACGGAGCACTACGGGAGCGTGAAGGAAACATGCCGTCATACACCCCCCGTACCATCCAATACTTACAGACTTTCTTACCAACCCGGTAATATCATTACTAATGTGTGCGGAACGAAAACTAAGTAATCTTGCAATCTGCGCTCGGCTGGATGGAACTCGCACAGCTAACCTGGTATCTCCCCATACTAAACTCATCATTTGTCTGTCATGTTGTTAGGACTTGTCGGTCCCCATCCTCGCCTTAGCGATCGGATATATCGCTCAACCACACATAATAATCGGCTAGACTAGCGCTTGCTCTTAAGCCGGTGGATGATGGTTCTGCAACATCTCGCCCGACTTGCCACTTACGCTGGCGTTCCAAGGAACAGGCGCCCGCAGTTCTCACGCCGGTCAGCACCACTGCGAGACGCCTTCCCGGACACGGTAAGACCAACATGATGCATCCAGTGGTAGCCTCCCGGTACTACCCTGCACCTCGCCCAATGTGGCGGTCCGATCACGGCCGCCGGACTCCACCAACGAAGCCGATGGCCCGCTCATGGAAACTTCTACGGAGACACCAAGCAAGGCGGTGTGGGAGATCTCGAGAAGACCCAGTCCACACACTGGCTGTCGTACGAGAGAAGGCGCACTAGACGCTGTTGGTCCTTAGGCAGCGCATAGCCAGAGGTTAAACCAGGTGCTTAACGGCATGGCTCAACGAGAAATTGTCCGACCGATCGCCGCCAGTCTGCTATCGTCCTAAAGCTTGGCCTCGCTTGTGAGACACTTGCGGACTAGTTGGACCACGGAGTACACAGTAGGTAGGCATAATGCTGTCCGCCATTCTCCGCCCACCATACTGTGTCAGGCACGAAAGGACTATCCGGGCTTGGTATTCACGACTACTGGGTACGGAGTTCTACCCGGCTGCAATAGTAGCCAAGCGCCTAGTATATGTGATGTCGATTACTTCGTACCGACACGTACCTACATCAAATTGCGTCGAGTTCCATATATAGATCCTATGGACACCGCCGCCCTCAACAAAAGGACTGTGTGCAGGCCCGAAAGTACATTCACCACAACAGATCGATAAAATCTCTACCGTGTACTCCGTACTATCTACGTGGCAGGGATAAGCAGACACAAGCGCGCAGCGTGGCTGGTCCGAGTCCAATCTCTGAACAATGAAAACCAACAGGCGCCGTGATAATAACATAATAGTGATATAATGCCACTAAACTCCGTACGTGGACTAGTTCAGCAGCGCTAAATTCCTTAGCCCCTCGACGAAAAAGCATCCCTACGGGTCCTACAGAGCAGAAAAGAACTCAAAACGACCGCATGCAGATCCTCCCGCCGAATCCGGGACACTCAGAGTCGGCCGGATACTTCCTCGGCACTTTTACCCTGCCAGGGTGGTTTTTCCGGGCATGGCCGGAGTAATGCCGAAGGTCAAGTCTGGATCGGCTCAGTTTCAGACCTCGCGTGCGATCCAATCACAGCGAAAATGTTGAGCGAGGCGAGAACGCCACTCACCTCATTCCACTTGATGCCAAGCGGACCGGACGCTCTTGCGATGCACATTTTGTTGGTTGTTGTTCGGTGTGTGTATTGTGTGCTGTGTGGCCTGAGCCTGAGCTGCTTAGGCTTTCCCCTCTTCGCTCGCCTGTTTGAGTTAGTCACAAAGTAACTTACTCTGACTGGGAGTGTACAGAGCAGTTAGCGCTTGATCTGGATCGCATGGGTGAGGTAATCATGGTCATGTGCCTGACGCTGCGAGTCAGCCAGCCAGCCCGCTCGTCCTCTCTCCCGCTCTTCCGCCCGGAGTGCTGTCGCTTCTGCTGCCGCCGCCATCATTACTTTTTCCTAATCGATCAGATACATCTCTAGTTACCCAGTAGGTGGCTGGGTAGATACTACACATCCTTCGAGACATCCTACACCGGCTCGCTTATGTCTAAAAATTGGGACCACACAGGACAATGGCTATCAACGTACAAGATCACAAGCTAGATACTACTGCCCGAGTTGGCAGGAGTGTAAGCGCAGCTAGTAATTAGTTAATTGGGATGTTATTGCAGCTACAGGCTTTCCCACACTTGACGGGCATCGTTGGCGCTTGCAACAGTTGCTCTATCTATTCGCCAGCCACCCGGACTAGGGTCATGCATAACTGGGGGGGGGGGGGGAGGACTCGTTCGATCGAGCAATGTACCCAGTCGGACATGGGCGGCACTGACACTGGTCGTCGATCCGAGGGTAGCCATCGAACCATGGTCTTGGATCCGACTATGGGCCATGGCAGCCAAACCGCATGGTCCCTGTTGAGTGTTGAATCTCTTAATGATACGATAGCGGATCCTTGGGATACGGGATGTATCTACCAGGGCCGCGTCATGAATGTTTCCGACTGGTTTGACGCGCATGTATGATCCGGCGAGTGTGATATGTTCAACCGTATCAAATGCTACCAGGGCAGCCGGAGTGCAATCCGGGTGGCTACGGTGAGAATGGCCTGATTAGTAGGATTAGAGTTCGTTGAGCGTAACGCCGTCACCGGAGCCACCATACAACTTTCATTTCAGATAGAGTATGTGGCTGCCTGAGGCGTGATCAGATAAACGACGAACCCCCTCTCACTAAAGCTGCAGGGGTATGTCCGCACTACGGAGCATGGAGGAGGAACTAAGGGAAAGGAGGAGGAGGGGACGCTGAGGGGAAAGGGGGAGAACCTGGAGATGAGGTATCCATGATCTACTCGATGGCCTCTCCCACCCTCGTATGGGCTAGAAAGGCGAGTCCGTCCCGCTTGTCTGTTGTCGTGTATAAGACTTTTGCCACCGGCGACAGGCCGACAAGCAGCCACGCGGACTGGGAATTTATTGTGAGACAGTCAGGTTTATCTGCCTAGTCTATATGGCAGATTATAATTTCTTCCTAGGCTGGAAAAGGATTGTTGTGACTTTCCCCAATAGGTATCTTCCACGGTCTGAGACAGGGAAGAGACGGTAGAAAAATGAGAGGTAAGCTGATTTTATCTTTCCTTTAAATGTCGATTATTATTATTATAGCATTAATTCTGTCATTATATGATTACCACCAAGGTTAGCTCGCTAGCAACAGCAATAGCAGCAAACAAGAATATCATCATCATCATCATCATCATCGGCTGCCGAGGCACAAGAAATGATAATGCAAAAAGCAAAATAATACCGCAACTAGAGGGTCAGCCCCAGGCAAATCAACCAACTAACCCACTTACCAACTAGTAGCGAGTTGGAGGTCCTGCCTCAGGCGGGACACCGGAATAACGGACACTCATTGCCAAGCACCACCAACCTCCCCTCTCTTCCTTCTTCTCCCCCTGTCAATCAATCCCCCCCCAGCCCAAACCCACCTCAGCCCGCTACTCAATTTACCTAACTACTAACTACGGAGTTAACCACTCGTGCTCTTCCTTTTCTCTCGGCGCTGACTTGGGTCTCAAGCAAAGATAAAGTTACAAGCTACACCAGATAGTCAATGCAAGTCCATCCCAACACGGGTTAACATCCGACGGAAGAGCATACCAGCCAACCTGCCTGAAGAATTAGCTAGACAGTTGACCCAAGAATGCTCGACAAAATTTGTCGGCAGTAATTTTACACACCACTGGGAACATTTTGCCGATACGATAGGCAACTACTTGCCTACTTTTCACAGTAGCTTTCGAAAAATAAGTTGTAAAAGTCGGTGAAGACCATCGCCTATGTATAGAAAACAACATATAATTAATATAATAAAAAAAACAAAATAAAACATCATGGGCTATCAACTACTACCTACTTACCTACCTAAATAAATACCAACAAAGGTACCAACCAACGAACCAAACCACCATGTAGTTTTGAAACACATTGAATAGATACATAGACTTGACTATACAAATAAATAGATAGATAGATAAACTGAATGGATACATCCCAGCCCTACTACCCACAACCTATCCATCCATCCATCCATCCATCCATCGACTCCATAGATATTAAATCGACAGTAGTTAAGACACATACTACTGCAACCTGCGTACCTGCAGGAAATTTAAATGACCCTCTCCCCCTCTGGCCCGCCGCCCGCGAAATCTCGCGTCAAAGGTTGCAGGGCAAGAGAGAAAGACGGGAAGGAAAGTCATTCGTTCGATCGGGGGGGAGGCGTAGTGGAGATGGACGGATGGATGGCTGGATGGATGGGGTTCTGTGGTCGCGCGGCTGGCGTGTATGTGTGTTTGTGGATCGGGTAAGTAGGTAGTACAGTAGGGATTATGCTTGCTGATGGAGTATAACTTAGGTTAAGTGGTGCTATTGCTAAGTGTGGTATGGTTTTATGTACGGAGTATGGTGTGACTAGTTAGATAGACACTATGGGGGTGAATATTTGGATACCGTGATTGAGTGATTGTTTTGGGAAAGATGATTTCGAATGGTATAGTGATGTTACTAGTAGATTAATATGGTCAAGATGATTAAGATAATGAGTGGTTTGTCTCTACTGGATGGTGGTGTGGTTGGTAGTTATATATAGTATGTCTGGGTTGAGTGGGTTTTACCCTCATATTTTACACACTGCAATTGAACTACTGGTGGTAGTACTAGTACTAGTAGTATGGTCTACAATTGAGACCTCTCTTCAGAGAATATAAATGTATATTGCATTATTCGCTCAAAAAAGACTAGAGTGTATCCCTGTTACTCTTGATGTGCTTTGTACTAACTTTCCTAGGGCCTAGTAGCGACATAGTATATTCACGGCACCATTACTGGTAGTACTCCACTGAAAGCTCTGCAATACCTTTACCACTCAAGTCCTGTAACTAATCATTCTCTTAATATAAGTTGAGATCTTTATTAGCTATTGCTGATGTTTTTTAAACTAATTGGTGGGGTATAGAAAGTCTTGCAGGTATGGTTGGTATTTATAGAGGTACTGAGTTCTACGTTACTACTACGTATACTTTCACTAATGTTCAAGAACTATGGATACTACTTGTTTACCAGTAGATTCAGTTAGTATTTATATATTGATTATGAGGAAAGTACCCCTGGCTTGCTATACATAGATGGCAAGGCATGAACGGAGACTAAAAATGTAGAGAGAGAGGGAAACCATAAAATCTGTCTAGTCTTATTGTATGCAGAACAATGCATAGTCCCAATAAGTCACCACAGTAATAATAGCCAATATCTAGGAAGGTCAAAATATATCATATATTCGCAGTCAAGGAAGAGAATTTCCCTGCTGCTTTTCTATCTTTCATGCATAAAGCTGTCTATACTCTCAACCACCCTCCTTCTTTTTGTACCCTCAATGCCCTCTCACGAGATCATAATACTGCCTTGTCTTGAACTCCCTCACATCTGGAAGAGACAGCGTTCCGTTCACGAGTCCAGCATCAAAAAGCAACCCAGCATCAGAACTCGCCAATATCAACTAGATAGGTCAAACACAACCCGGACTAGAAGAATCAACCCTACGAGACCAAATAAACCACCGACTGCACCACCGCAGCAATCCCCACCACACACAAACACATCTTCCCATGCAACTCCAAACAATACAGCAACTGTCTCACACTAATCATCTCCACCACATCAAGCACATGCAACGGTCCCGGTAACCTGAAGGGGTCTTTGACGAGCCTGCCTTGCTGCTTTGGATACCCCTCATCCTCATCCTCCTCCTTCCACAAAGCAATCTGATTATCACCACCCCCATTCTTCTCATCCTGCTGCACCTCCTCCGGCAAAGGAATCAACGTCTCACAATCCCCCGGTATCAAGCTCCCCTCCACCACAACAAGCACAATATACGCCGGGAACAAAACCAGAACCTGAGCAACGAGCATAAGACCCGCGACAAGAACATCAGATCTCACGAGGGACGTAACATCCGTCAAATCCTCCGGCTGCAGCAGCACACCATCGAACCGAACCGGGGCAAGGAGTAGTCCCGGCACATACATCATGATCGACTCAGCAATGGCATAAAGCAGCGTCGGCAAGAGTAGTACATTCCACCGATGATAGTCAAGTCCAAGAGGCACGTAGCGCATCTGCTCAGCGGGAGGGAGAATGGCTCCGGCTGTCCGGAAGAAATGGAATTCGGCGAGAGCGACGGAGGCAACGATGTGTGCGAGAGGTTCAGGGAAGCGTGCGATAGGCGATGTGAGCATGCCTGTTACTATAAAGTATCTCAGATTGTAGTAGATGGTGTAATGGAAGCCGTTGATGAGGGATGTAACTCCGTTTTTGTGGTGCAGGGTGGTGAGGGTTTGGAGGAGGTTGCGGGTGGTGGTGGTAGGCTTTGGGTTTGATTTCTTGTTGTCGACATTGTCTCTGTCTTTGTTGGGGTTGGGAGGGTTGCTATCGATGGTCTCGAGAATGAGGAGGGACATTATGAGGTTGCCGATGATGTAGCGGATCTAGATGTGGTGATGGGGTACTTGTTAGGTTGTGCTCATCTCCGAGGGGTTGGGATTGGGTTGCTTACTATGAAGTCGAGGGACATTCCTAGAATGATCAAGGTTAATTCTAGCACATTTTGGGGTGGTTCGGTAGGACTCTCTTGGAAGAGTCCATGGGCGTTGGCGAGTAGTGGATCATTTCTTGCGGTATAGATGAAGGTGTTGAGGAGTTTGCGAAATGTGAATAGTAAGAGGCGTGACATGGTGAGTCTGATGACAGTTAGGTACGCTAGAAGCGAGTGTCTCGAGATGCCATGTTGGATATGGGATATAACTACTGAGGTATAAATACTTGAAGCTATATTGCTCTTTTATAGAGTTGTCGGCACTTCCCTGCTCCCTGTTTCGCAGACATGTCTAGACTATGGTAACAACCGCAGATATCTAGAGATCCTCACGGAAACCAAACTAGTTTCCTGAAAGGGCCCATAAATAGGGCTGAATTCTATATGAGGCTTCTGTGGCCTAAATGCGGGTGGATCCTCGCTGTGGAGTAAGAGAATTGGTTGCTGATGATGAACAACGATCTTCTCCCTTTCCACCACAAACAATAACTCATGCCAGTGGTAGTGCAAGGAAAGCTTATGTCCTTTACTATAGGAGTCTTTCACCGAAATGATGGGTAATATATCGACTGGGATGCGCTATCGTACCAGATCCAGATGTGGAATACTAATTTAGCAGTATATTGACGCAATGCCGAATTATTTACAAGACTGTATGCGGCGTCTGTGGACGACTGTAGCCAAACATTAGAATGAACGTAACCTGAACAGTGTAGTGAGGCATCTACCTCGCAGATGCCTTGCTCGACGCATCCTCTTGCACTACATCCTCATCTGCTCCCACGCCGTCTATAACAGCCGCATCCGCAGCGTGGATTGCGTGCTCCACATTGACCTTTGGTCCCGTGAACCATTTGTGCGCATCCACAACCCACCAGATAGTTACTCCCAGCATTGGCGCTCCCCAAACCAGACACGTCCAGTTCATCAGATCCGGTGTCAGATCAGAACCCGTGACGCTAGGCAGACACAACACGGGCACCATGAGCAGCACGAACGCCACACCCATCCCTCCAATCCAGGGCCCAAAGGGGCCCAGATGCCACGGACCTTTACGGAACCGGTGACCCACGAAGAACACTCGAATCGCAATGGGAATGGCAAAAGCGACAAACTGAGCGATGCCGCCAATAGAGAACAACGCCCCGATGGCTACATCGCCGGCTAGAACCAACAGACACATGAGAATTCCCAGCACGCCGTTGAGGATTACCGCATTGACCGGGGTCTGGGTGCGCGGGTTGACCATCTTCCAGTATTTGGATAGAGGGAAACAGTCATCTCGTGCGTAGGCGTAGGTTACTCGTGAGGCAGCCACCATACAGCCTTGACCCATGGAGAAACCACTGATGATGGTGAGAGCTAATATGGCCAGGGCTGTCTTGCGTGGCACAACCTGGAGCAAGTACGAGGCCCAGGGCTGGCCCAAGTCCGAGTTTATGACTGCATCAATGTCGGTGACAGTGTAAGCGACGACTAACTGCAAGAACCATCCCAGCAAGCCACCAGCCCCCGAGGTCATTACGATCGCACGCGGCGAGGCGACATTGGCATTGGAGCATTCCTCGCTTAGATGGAATGGCGAGTCGTAGCCAGACATGGTCCAAATGACTCCGACAAAAGTCATCAGAACGGCAACACCATCGGGAAAGTCGGTGAGATTGGTGATGGTGCCCCAGACGTCCTTGGACGAGGAGAATTTGGGCTCATTCTTAGTCCCAGCAGGAATGGCAATGAGGGTAATGACGAGGGCGATGATGTTGAATGTTGAGCCCCAAGAATTGACTCGAGCGACCCATATAGTGGGCATGCTGCTGATGGCCGTATGGATGATGAGGACGAGCACCGTCAGGAGATAAACCTGCCAGTTAGTGGGGACATAGTCTGGATTCTGCATCGACGCAGCGGCAAGGATCATTGCAGAAAGCGCGTAATCCACAGAGGGTGCGGCGGTAATCTGCCCGATCCAGTTCGACCATCCTGTGATCCAAGCGGCAAAGGGTCCATATTTTGGAGGCGCAAGGACCGCTGCGGCGTAGTAAAGGCCACCACTGTCAAAGTCAGTCTTACACTCCTATAGTAGGCAACTCAAGAGAATCTTACCTGGTGGGCATCGCAGAACATAGCTCAGCCATGGACATGGCAACGCATTGAATGAAAACCATCGCGATGATCCAGCCCCAGACCATACCGGCTGTACCTGCATAGCCCATTCCTTGTGGAAGTCAGCCCTACCCATCATGTTGATGGACCCAGGAACAGCTACCGTAGTATATCGTGCTTGCAAATGATGGAAGCAATCCTAGTACCGAAAAACTGACACAGAAGGTTGTCCATAGCGAGAACTCGCGCTTGAATTCTTGCTTGTACCCCAGGGCCACAATGACCCTCTCGTCCGCATCCATTGCATGATCGGTATAAGGCACGTCGCCCTGAGGCAAAACGGTCGTGACGGGGTCATGGTCGACATCCGCGAACACTGCTCCCTTGGAGACAGCCTTATGGCTGCTCGTACCAGACATTATGGATGAATCATGTATATAGAAAGAGGTGATGTGTATACAGTAAGCTGCTGCTGGGGAGTGGGAACGGCGGGGCAGGAAGTAACGTGGAGGAAGAAAAAGCAAGCAACGCAAAGACGCGGCGGTTGCTAGCTCAGACTCAAACTTTCATATGTTCTTTTCGGACAAATGTCAAGCAATATAAGGATAGAAGATACAGTTGATTAGAAGATAAGTCATAGAGTGGCTGCGGGACAGACAGGGTCATGCGCCAGTACATATATGAGTGGCTTTCGGAGAATCAAGACAGCCATCTTATCTGCACAAGACATGTCCCGTCCTGCAAAGTCTTAATACAGATAGCCAAAGCCTTGAGTAAGATAGGTGGAATGGTGGCGTAACACGATAAACGCCTTATGGAGCTCAGGTACCTCTGAAGCTGGGTGCAAGCGAAGCGGGGATCGAGCGCAGATACGCTTGGCAGTTGGTCACGATCTCACTGGATAACCGGAAGGGAGACCATCACTTGCAGTCAACCAGCAGGAACGACTAGGATGGCTCGCTAAAGATGAGACGAGATAGATGCAGCTCCTTGCTGGTCAGAGACCTGAAGCTTGGCATGCACCATACTTGGCTGGGAAACTTCAGGCGCCGCGAGCGAAGACAAAACTCGGAGAACCCCTTGAACTTGACGCTAAAGCAATGACCCAGAAGCTGGGGAATCCATCCACTCGGGCTTATCGGAGGCAACTGGTTGGCTATTGGGTGCTTTGACTGCCGGATGATAAGCATCCAACGAATATCAATGTGGTTTAAACGGGTCGATGATAAGACGGACGGCAGCATCTGGAGCTGGCTGTATTTATGACCTGTCAATGTAAGAAACTATTGGCTGGTATTAAACGAGTCGCTCTCTGCTGATTTGGCAGGCTATACCTGCCTTTATGAGAGTAGCGGGGTTGATTTCGTTCATTATCAGCGTCTCATCGTAGCTATAGTGTGTTTACAAAGTGCTTGCTAGTCGGTGGTCCCTAGACGAAGCATAGACTCATGAATCAGCCCCGGCATACAACTTGCATGGACATCACGGGGGCCACTATTACCTTGCATATGATTCCAGTCTCCTTACTGGTCTTTCATCCAGTGAGTTCTCGCGAATGGCAGCCTCCAAATCCTTTCAAGCCACATCGTTCATACATTTGCGCGAAGGTCCATGGTGGCTTGAGGAACTGAATTTGTGACTATTCGGAGTTTATCAGCGATAGTCGACCTGAGACTGCGCTGCGCAGCACTCGAACGGTGCTGTAATGCGTTCCTGTAGTCCGGCGCCAGAGATAGAAGGACTAGCCCTGACTGGTCCAGTGACGGAAGTCTTGAGGCTAATGGTAAAGCTCAGTCCATAGGCCCAAAGTTGTGCATGTATAGACGTAAATATCAACGCTGTAGTTGGGGGGAGGAATAAAGGAAGAAGCCTAATGTATCTGGGGCGGGAGTTATGTTCAGAGCCTGAGGCTACAAGGCATGCATGTGCTCCTCGAGAGCCATTGGCAGTCTGACGCAGACACAGACAGACAGTGCGTCTTAATGTTACTGAAAAAAATGAATGAAGCAGCCAGTGTCTATGTGCTATCAGAAACTCATCGCTATTCTACACGTACAGCACCCTCTTTTCTTCACCATCTATCCACTAGGTAGCATACCCACACTGGGTGGGTTCTTATAGATGGTCGGAAAAGCATATCCCATACGGCACCAATTTAGAAGGGCTAGACGATTGTTAGCAAAACTCTTAACCCTAGTTGCTGGTGCCACTGGAGCGGTATGAGGGGAAGGTACTTACGTTGTCCTCGGGAGCGATCGTGCGGTCGAAGTACTCATCGAGGAAAGGAACCTTCTGGAGGATGTCGCGGCGAACACGGGGGATCTCGCCGAAGAAGAAGAGGGCGAAGGTACCGGCAGCGACACCGAAGGTGCCAGCAATGGTAGCGCTAGATGTGCCCAACGTGTAAGCTGACCTGCCAGGAAGCCAAAGACGAGAGGTAGTCTTGGAACCTAAGGGGGAACTTACTACTTGGTAGCCAGGCCGGTGGTAAGGCCGTGGAAGTGAAGGGGAGTGTGGTACCTATGCCACACAGTCAGCATGTCGCTTCCATATACCACTTGCAGTCCCGGCTGGATTGGTGCCTCTCTAGCTGGATCTTGTATTCTCGTCAGAGGCAGGGTATGGCAGCAGTATGGATAGACTTGCCAAACGCAGTCCGCAGTACCCAGAGCTAGCAGCAGGGACCCTGCCTCATTGACCCAACCCAAGCCAGCATTGACACCTTGTGTATTCGTATGTCGACCGAAGATGGGATATCGGGGGTTCTCACTTGGGAGCGAAAGGGGAGCGGTAGGCACCGGCGCTCTGGGCGGCGGCGCGGCGGAGAGTCTGAGAGAAAACCTATCGGCGAGAAGACGAGATCAGCACTGGTTCACTTGTGCCCAAACAGGGTTCAAGTTGCTATCATAGTAATATGGATAACGGCTCCCGACGCAGTTGAACAGTGGGCAAGCTCAAAGAACCCGACAGAACACTGGTAGGGTGAATGCCACACGAAGAATCTCTGGAGAAATACATACCATATTGACTGGGTCTAAAGAAGCACGTCCGGCAACGACAATTGCTCCAGCAAAGGATGACGGCAGCTGCACTTGAAGTCTGAGGCTGTCGACGAAAACCGGGAGACTCCGCGACGTTGAGTGCTTGCGGCTTCCGATAACCAATCAGCGACCGGCAATTGGCATTCACGTGATATTATGATTGGTCAAATCAGAGGCCGCGCATTTCCACTGCTCATGCCACCATTTACGTCTACAATTGAAATGCATGAGTCGAAGCATTCAACCTCTACTGCAGCAAAGCATCCGTTGGAAAGATCATTTAGAAGACCTGACTATTATGCACACTTTTTTGTTTGTGTATGGCCAACTAGAAGACAGTGAAAGTTTCAAAAGGAATTTGTGTACAACAGTAGCGCCATATTCTAACACCATTCGGGACAAAACAACAGACAATAGTATAGGATAGAATCATCAATATGAAGAACCCAGAGATCCTGGTAAACATATAGCAACCCAGTAAACGTCCAAGATAGACACGAAATTAGGGCGTGGAAAAAGGTATAAAAAGAAGTAACTGTACAATGCCCATCTTATGGGATCAATCAACCTTGCCGGTCGATCCACCGTTCAGAAGACCTTCCTTTCCATCCAGGTTGAAGAAACCGCCACCGGTGTTACCAGTAACCCCGAGTATTCCGCCACGAGCCCCGCGTCTAAGACTCCTTCCCCGGGCTACAATTGTAGCACCAGCCACCGAAAGCGTCAGGATAATAAAGAAGATGATCGGGTGACCGCTGATGAAAGCCCGAGTGAAGAAGAAGACAGACTCAAAGGTACCGACTGTGGACTTGGGCGTAAGTTTCGGTGGGTTGGCGATGACCAAGGGGATGGTCTCAAGGATGGAGGTCCGGGAAGCCATGATAGAAGCTCCGCTGGAAGACGTATCCCAGTAGCGCCGGTTCTAGAAAAAAGGTTAGCTTCAAGTCCTAGCAGATGATTAACTATTCTGGTGTAGCCACTTACATCCTGGTCATTGATGACCACGCGTTCACCGTTCTCGACGTCGATGCCGTATGTGGTTCTGAGCCACCGTTCCCAGAAATCGCCATCAATCCAAGCGAAACCGACTTGCTTCTTGTCATCTTCGCGGATAGTAATGCGCATGTTCTTGGCGGCCCGCAAGGCGCGCTGGTCATTACGGTCTTCGGCTTCCTCGATCCGCAGCTGCTTAGCGTCACGCAGCTCAGCACGCTCCAACTGGAACAACTGCGTCTGCTTGTCCATCCACTCAAGGGCGGCATTCTTGAGCTCTCGCTTCGATTGAAGGAACTCATCCGAGTGCTTCCGGCTCAGGATGCCAAGGACCACATACTTGCCATCCATGATCTCCCGTGCATTTGAGGCAGTGAGCTCAGGAACAATGGGCAGCCACACAGTGCGCATCCAATTAAGAATTTGGCGGAAGTCCCGCATATCCTTAGGAGCAAGCGCATTGTAGTAGCTGGGGCGACCGTCGCGGGACACAAGGAGGCGTGGCCAGGTCGAGATCTTAAACCGTTCCGCAAGAGCAGCGCTGTTCGTCTTGACAAGCCGGGCATGGCCGACCAAACTAAGGGTCAGGCGCTCGAGAGCTTCGAAATCTTCCGAGGTGGTCGCATGGTCATAGAAGTACAGGAAGATGACATCCTCCTTCTCCTCCAACTCCTTGAAAGTGGTAGCATCGACATCCTGTACACCGGATCCAACATCAACAGCCTTCTTGGCGTAGCTGACCAAATCTCCGAGGCCACGGAGACCGGTATATTCAACCCTCTCTCCACCGCGGAAGAAATACATCGTCGGGAAGCCGCTGACACGGGCATCTTTGCAAAGTCGGGATTCCGCATCGCAGTTCACTTCGCCCACGTTGAGAACACCCTGCATCTCCTTTGCCATTTCCCGCCAATTGGGAGCCAATGCTTGACAATGGTGGCACCAGGGTGCGTAGAACTTGATAAACCAAGGATCCTGAGTAGTGGTGACCAGCTTCTGAAAGCTCTCCGCGGTGAGAGGGACAGAGATACCCTGGGGGTTTGCTGGGGCCGGCTTGGGCTTAGGCTTGGACTTGGACGTCTTGTCTGCGGGTGTCTCCTCCTCGGCCAGTTGTGCAGCCTGCTCGTTGTGCTTTTCTCCGGCCTTGGTGCCCGCCTCACGATCCTTATCTTTGGCGACGGGCGCCTCGGGCTGAGCCTGAGTATCCACTCCCTTGTCGCCAGGCTTGGGGAGGTGGAGACCCTGGGCAGGCCGCGAACCAGGCTTGATCTGTTCCAGCTTCTCCTCAACGAACTCGCTGATCCCCTCCATACTCTTCTTTCCAGTGTACTGTTCAACCAGTTCACCATTGTGGTACAGCGCGAAGGTGGGGAAGTATTTGACGTCGAGTTTCCGGCAAAGATCGCCATGCGCGAGACAGTTCATCTCGGCGAAATGAAAGTTGTAGAAGCCATGGAATGAGTTCAGCGAATCGGTGTTGGATGACTTGGAAGACGACGAGGACAAAGGATCGGAGGTCTAGTGGGACATTAGTGGATGCTGCTGGTAAGGAGCGATGTTGACTCAATGCGCGAGAGATTAACTCACGTAGTAGAACTCATAGAGCGTCTGCCATGCAGGGGCAATCTTCTGGCAGTGTGGGCAGGACGGAGAGTATTGCTTGACGAACCTAGGTTCTTGTCAGCTTTCTGGAGGACCAACGGTACGTGTAGAATGAAGAGACAACATACCAGTAGCCGTCCTTGATCGTGTCATCGAAGTTGTCGGGAGTCAAAGCCTTCATAGGCGGGACCTCAATACCATTGAAGGTAGTCGACTGGCCCTCCGACTTCACGTCGGAGTCGCCTCTCTTTACGAGGTGATGGCTGGGGGAGACATTATCGGAGGGGGCGGCTAAGGCGGGAATCGAGAAGAGAGAGAGTAGGGACCACGCCAGCAAAGAGACCCTCATGCTGGCTGTAGCGTGAGGTCTTTGACCTTAGATGTGTGACTGAATAAAGAGGGACGGTTCGAATTTCGGGGGTCGAAGGAGTAGTGGAAGAAGTCAGGACGGGGCGTCACAGGTGGCACATTGAACTAACGACGGTCTAGAATCGCTAAGGGACACGCTTGAATGTACCCCTTGTTGGAGGGGGCGAAAGAGATATCAGCAAGACAAATGCTGAGTAAAAGAAGAAGAAAAAGGTGAGCTAGGCTCAGAGACTACTGCGGAGGCGATCCGCAGGCTCTTTTGAGAGAAAGAATGCAGGAAGAACACTCCTACAAGAGAAAGTGATAAGCCGACCAAGTGAGGTGCTCACGAGAGCCGCAGGGAGAGACTGAGGGAGAATGTCCCCCCGGCGCCACGGTTTCTCCGCGCCCCGACACGGGACCTCAACCCTTCGCGCATCGATCCCGATCCAGTGTGGTATCTTGACGACTGACAGCGCCGCTATTCCCGCTTATCGTCTGCCATTGGGTCTGTCACCACCCGACCCTTATACCCAATTACACAACCTCCAGTCATAATGAGGTCTACATTCCGGTTGCTCGCCGGTGTGAAGCCGGCTCGCTACTTGGAGCCTTTCGCTCCTACCGGCTTGACCGGCCTCGTCACTCACCCTAGCCCTCGCCCGACCTTGATCTTCCTCTACAAGTCCACCCTGGACAAGCTGAAGGCCTTCCCCGAGTCCTCCGTCTACCGCCAGTCTACCGAAGCATTGACCCGCCACCGCCTGCAGATCGTCGAGTCCACGAAGCCGCCCGGATTCGATGCTTGGTTGGAGCGTGTGAAGAAGGCCGTGGCTGAAGAGCCCGAGCGCTTCGCCTCTCTTCGCCGTCCTGACGGTACATATGCCGCCTGGCAGCGTGACGACGGTACCGACAACCCCCGTGGTCAGGAATGGGATGGAGAGAGCATCGAACCTACTACCGAGGGTCCCGCTCGTACGGCAGAGGAAGAAGCACGGTGGCACCAGGCCATTGAGGACTCTACCAAGCCCACTGCTGAATCCGACTTCTACACCGCACAGATGAAGTGGGAGAACGAGCCCGCCCTGGAGGCTGAGCAGTATGTGACATAATATTTGAGCTATGCTACCGTTTCGTGGAGATGCTGACCAATTCTCTTAGGATTGCCGAAATTGAGAGACAGATTGGCGCCGGTCTGATTGAGGAGGTCATTGAGGTTGCCGAGGGCGAGTTGAAGGTTGTTGACGAGCTGTACAAGACTTCCGCGTAAGTTGACCGATTGACAAGTTTTTGATTGAAGCCAGAGATGCTAACGTTAGCTTAGTTGGGAGGAGCTTTCCGAGAAGCCCAGACCCGGCCAGTGGTCTTACTTTGAGCGCAAGACCGAGTAAGCATAGAATGGTTTTCTCATGAATGGAGGATCCGAAACTAGATTCCCCATCTGCTTGTAATTATTATCTTATGGTTGTGTGAAACAAAATTCGATGCCAATGCCAGGCCAATTTCATTTTTATGGGGTTACTTTCATAGAATTGGTGATAGATTCCGTTTATCTGGTTACAAGTGTCTCCTTGAAGAAAGAAACTAAGGGAGCCGGTGCAAGTGATGCGTGTGATGTGTATAGTTCATTGCTTTACTTGATGACTACTGCACTCACCCCGACGGGGTGCTTGAAATGGTCGCATCTGCACCCAATAATTCCCTTCCCAGAGTATCTACAAACAGAAAGGCAACCACAAGCATCTATATCTTGAAGTGATGCAGGGTTAATGTTTGATGCTCAGATGGAATCACAAACCGTAGGCGGTGAGCCCCATATGGCTAGCCGGTT